ATTTTTCTGTGATTTATAATTTTCAATTTAAAAGTAATCTCTCTTTATGTAACAACAATTACACACATATCAACTCATTTTTATCATCGTCTTTGCATATTTCAAAATTCAAATTCTAAAAGTTAATTTCCATGAGTTTTCAAACAACATTTGAAATTTAAAATTATGTGATTTCAAATACTGGACTTGTTTTTAGAAGAATTCCAATTCCCAAACATTCTTTTAAGCATGCATCTCTTGCTGCACAATTTAAGTTTTTCTTGAATTTGTATATTAAAAAGGTAAAGTGAAACTTATATTAGGATGGAGGAAGTAGATCTTCCTTCTATCAATGGTGTGGGAGAAACAAGATGAGAATAATAAATAGAGAAAAAATCTTTTAATATATATTTCCTTTATGCCACAAATTTTTTCTCTTTGCTTTTTTTTAATGTCCTACAATTAATTTCTCCTTTCTATTAAAAAATTTATTTTTATCTCTATTTCATTCTTATACTACTTATCCCATTATACCTATTCACTAATAATTTGTCCATCACATCGCCCTCTTACACATCACATCAAAGATAATTAGGAAAAGTCAACACAACAAAAACTTTTTCTTAAATATCATAAAAGTTAAACCAAGGACTTTGTGGGATAGAGGAAGTATTACGTAATTTTTAATAGTTTTTTAATAATATAATTTAAGAGATATTGTTAGTCAAACGTTCAACACAAAAACCCAACTGGACACTTAAAAAAATAAAAGAGAGAGTGAACAAGGGACTAAACGCAACTTACGCAAGTATTTAGTTTGAATTGTGTGACTAATCATCCTTTGATGCCAGTCTTTTCCTAATTTTAGAATTAGAAACTTCACTGTACAAATAACTATCACATGAATTGACAACAATGGACTTTTACAGTGAAAAATGGTCCAGTAATTGCTTTTTACCATTTGTGAAGAGTTTTGGAAAGATTTAGTTGAAAGTTCAGAGACTTGAAACCTCTCATATAGATAGAAAAATGCTAGGGGTACACCAAAGGTGTACCCCAAATATCTCCCACCCCCTCCTTGTCCACTAAAAAAGGCAAAAAAATTCAAAAAAAATAAGTAAATAAAAATTAAATAAAAATGTGTGGAGGAAAATAGGGTGGTGTACATTTGGGGTACACCTTTTGGTGTACCCCTAGCATTACTCTTATAGATATATATGCCCAAAGTGATGAATAAATTCCAAATTTACAGAAGAAAGACAAAATGGAAGGGTCTAGCCTTCAAACAAAGGTCAAGCCACAATTGAACTGTTATTTTGTACTCTATTTTTAAAGTCAAATAAATTTGGGGGTATAATTGAAGGAGGTAGAAGGTACGTTTTGGTTAGGACGGAGGGTTTATCAGGAGGGGGGAGTTAGAACGAATAAGAAACGTCAATTTTATGAACCGGACACCGTAGCAGCTTTAGATCATCCCATGACATGTGTTTCAGAACATGGGAACCGCCCCCTTTTGAGATACATTAAAAGTATACTAAATATAGACATGATATGTATAGATATTCATTGAACTTTTATAGAGATATATTAAAAGATACATCATCAATAATATAGAGAAAATTCAATCAATAATATAGAGAAAATTCAGAACACTCTAGAAAACTACCAAAATAGAAGAAATTACTAAAATTCATCCTACAAAAAGTTTCACATTTCTTTTCTCTTCTATTTCAATTAAAAGTTTTATTTTCTATTTACGAAATTTTTTTTGTTATATTATTTTTCTCTTTTCTAGACTTTTTTCAACTATGAAATTTAATTTTTCTTAACAAGTGTGCCAATTGTATGGTGGAACCTTTTTGTGTGAGAAATGGATTAAAATACAAATGCTATGAATAAAAGATTATCCATTGGACCAGCTGCTAAATGTCTAGAGAAGGAGGTGTTGAAATATTCTAATAATAATATTGCTCCTTTAATATTGCTCATGAGAAGGGAGAAGTCGGACGTGCGCCGGTAGCTGTTCACGTTGTTGGAGAAGAGAGAAGTCTGCCATGCACTGGTAGCTGCTAACGTCGTTGGAGAAGAAAGAAAAAGACAAAAAAGAGTTCTTTGCTCCCACCGCCACAGCCGGTAATTCCGGCAACGGCGGCTCCACCCTATTCACCTCTATTTTCTTTTCCTTCTTTTATCCTCAAATCAACTTCTCCATTTAAATGGGAAAAAAACCATGTTGAAATCACACAAAAAAATCCATCAAAGGAGGAACTTCTCTCTTGTCATCTCCATGGTTCTTCAAAAAACCCAATTTCTCACAAACTCTCTCAACTCATCCTATCTTCTCAAAAAAATAAAGGGAAAAAACAACTGTTGTTTCTCTCTAATTCACTATATCAAAATCTTAGACCCAAATCTTTTTTCCATCGCCAATTCTTAACCCACTTTTTTTCTCTCTCAAATCACTCATTCTAATCATCAACCCCCTCCTTTTTCTCTACAACTCATCTCTTCAAGAAAGAAATAGGGCATTGCCTAGATCCAAGAAAAAAAACAAAGAATGTCAAGGATCTCCAGTCAAACAGGCACCTCCAGTAGCCTTCTCTATTCTTCTTCGACGTCAGCAGCTACAAGCGTACGTCAACCTTCTGTCTTCTTCTTCGACGTCAGCAGCTACCAGCGCACGTCAGACATATTATTATTCCAATATTTCAACCTGGTATCGGAGCCACCACTCTTGGTGACCTAAAAGAGTTCTTTGCTTCCACCGCCGCCGTCGGTAATTCCGACGACGGCGGCTCCACCGTATTCACCTCTATTTTCTTTTCCTTCTTTTATCCTCAAATCAACTTCTCCATTCAAACGAAAAAGCAAAAAAATCCGTGTTGATATAAAAAAAATCGTCAAAGTAGGAGCTTCCCTCTTGTCGTCTTCATGATTCTTCCAAAAAAAACCCGCTGAAGGGAAACATGCCCTCAAGCCAAAGTCTTCCTTTAACTTTTCTGCTCGACAACTCCTAAAAAACCTCTCTCAACTAATCATCCTATCTTTTCAAAAAAACGATTGTTGATTCTCTCCAATTCAGCATATCAAAATGTCAGACCCAATTTTTTTTCCATCACCAATTCTGAACCTACTTTTTCCCTCTAAAATCACTCATTCTAATCATCAACCTCCCTTCTCTTGAACCAATAAAAATCCAAATTAAATCAGCACAAAAACAAAGCCAAAAGGGAAAGTAGTGAAAGAGGAAAAAATACCTCTACAACTCACCCCTTCAAGAAGGAAATAGGGCATTTCCCAGATCCAAGGAAAAGACAAAGAATGTCAAGGATCTTCAATCAAACAGAAACCTCCAATAGTCTTCTTTGTTCTTCTTCGACCCCAACAACTACAAGTGCGCGTTAACCCTTTCTCTCTTCTTTAATGACGTCAGCAGCCACCAGCGCACGTCAGACTTCTCTATTCTCCAACAGACGTCAGCAGCCACCGACGCACATCCGACTTCTCTCTTTTCTAACGATGTCAGCAGCCACCGGCGCACATCAGACTTCTCTCTTTTCTAACGACGCCAGCAACCACCAGCGCACGTCAGAATTCTCTTTTCTCAAAGTTTCCAGTTTCCAACTAGTGTCCAAGCTTTCTCTTACTTCAGTCAGAGTTCAGCTTGAGGGGATGTTAGACAATAATATTAAGTATTCCTAGTTATGGTAGAAGTTATATTTTAGTTAGTCTCCATTCTCTATTTCTAGTTGTGTTAAGAGTGTCTTCTATATATACTCTATCATGTACTTCATAATTCAATGAGCAATATTATTATTCTAATATTTCAACAGAAGGCTCTTTGAGAAATGGTGAAGAGCCCAATATGGGCTTAGATGATTTGGGCTCTGGATGGTGCCGTGGCCCATTGATGGATGAAGAAACAAAGCATACGAAGCCCAAAATAGGCCAAACCCATCCATTGTGAAAAGACTATCATCACCCTTAAGTATATTGTACATACGCTCATACAATCATACTAGAGTAGTTTATAACTTTTTTACAAATAACAACCTAGTAGAATCCTACAATGGAAAGTGTTAATAGATATAGACCTTACACATCGTCGAAAATTACTCCCTCCATTTAAAATTGTTTGCTACATTATCATCTTTTTTTAAAAAATCATTATATTTACAAATTGGTAAAGAAATAAAAAAATATAAATTGCATCGTTCAAAAGTACATCAAAAAATTTACAAAACAAGATGCGGTAATAATATTTTATTTTATCAAACGGTCAAGAAAAATGAGTAAATAAACCAAAGTTATCGAGATATCGAAATAGTAACTGTGTCATTCTTTTTGGAACGAAGGGAGTATTGTTTATAACTTTTGAACATAAACAACTTACTATTATCAAATACTCTGGGAAATAAATGGCGCACATTCATGTATCTCAAATCATGTAGTGGTGATATGCTGATAACATCATTTACCACTAGTGTGGCTGGCTCTCACAGTTGCTAAATAAACACCTTTGGTAAAAAATGGACAAATTTATTCTTAATAGTGTAAAAAAAGAGAGTGCAATATGCAGACAAATTTAAGGACAAAATTGAACATTTGTTTTTGTAATTTCAAATCCATACACTTCCCTTTGTAATTTGAATGTCCAACCCCAAACTTTAGAGTTGGAATCCGAAAATTCAAATGAAATGATAATTTCCAAACACTATTAAGAGATAATCTACACATTGAGTAAGGGTTAAAAAATAAGAGCATATTTTAGTTTTTTTTTCTTTTTTTCATCATGGAAGAGTTAGCAATAACATATTCATTTTGACTCGGCACTCTGCACAGCAAGTAGACAGGTTCTAATTTCTTCTCATGAATCATCATCCTAGTGGGAGGCAAAAATGATTACAGAAAACCCCTTTAATTTGATTGGATTTTATGCCAACAAAAAAAATCAACTTGGTGGGGTCCAAAGTGCTGGTCTTCACTATAAATACACCACAACCATGAATTCAACCACCCTCTATAATCCAACTTTAAAAAAAAAAACATATTTTGTCTACTCAATTTTTTTAAAAAAAAAAACAAAGCCCACATGGGGAACTGCTTAGTTTTGCAGGCAAGTGTGATCAAAGTCATGAAAACAGATGGGAAATTGCTAGAATATAAAACACCCATGAAAGCAGATAAGGTGTTATCAGATTTTGATAACCATGCAATATCTGATTCATTACCTGCTGTCAAGTTGAATCATGTTCTTCCACTGCCGGGACCAGAACCTGCAACAAAGAAGGTAAAATTTGCAGATCAAGAAGCGGACAGGGAAGGGATTGAGGTGGTAAGGATTAAGATCATCATAAGCAAGCAGGAGTTGGAAGCACTGTTGAGTAAAGATCAGGTATCAGTTGATGACATGGTTCACCATCTCCATCAAAACCAGAAAAGCTCAAATGAGGAGGCCGGTTGCAGGGGATGGAAACCCATGCTGGATAGTATACCTGAACTTGACTAGCATATATTGTATAAGGGGTTCCCTATCTTTGTTATCCTTTAAGGGTTCATTATGACTTTCATGGTACATTTAAAAATGAATGAATGTGGACATGGTGTACGCCCATATCCATTTAAATATCAATGTATCAAAAAAGTCATAACGAATGGTTATATCAGAGTCTAGTGGAAAATGCAATAAAAGTTGTTAGAGGGTAGAGAAATAGTATGAATAATTCCCCAATACACTTTGCAAGATAGCATAGCTTCAATTTAGTTGTTTTCTTGTGATGGAGACCTGAAACTTGTATCATTATATGCATTGTTCAATTATCTTTGCACATTGAAACTAACAATAGAATGAATGCATTGGACAGCTATCCGTGGGAAAAAAATATACTCCGGTATTATATTAACGAAGATTTTGGGTCAAAGATAGTATTTATTTTTTTAAATAAGGAAAGAAAATTATATGGATATCGAATAAAAAAACATCCAATCCTTCATTTTTACCATCCCCAAACTGCTGCTCTCTTGTTCCAGTAAATTTAGCAAGTGCAACTTTTTAGAGCCACATTTAAGACATGAAAGCAACCCTATTAATTGACATCTATGTTGCACGATTTTTTCAAATAAAAGCCATTTTCCGTTCCCAAAAACACCCCTGTTTGGGTAGTTGAGGACATCTTGACACTCAATTCCTTTGTAAATTTTGGAAAGGTTACATGTTTCCCCGCCCCTGCGCAACATAGACTGACATTTGTAGCCTCTAGGAGAAGGGGGGGATAGAGACACAAGATCCAAGTAATTTTAACATATATTAGTACAATTTTGCCAAAAAGTCTAAATCTCTCTAATAAATGAGTGAAATATATATTTCTTCCACTCTATCATATATGCATACATCTTCCAAAAGGATGAATTGGAAGCTCCACCAGATACAAACACATTAAGATCTTTCATTTGGAAATGATGCAGAAATTCTGGAAAACTGGAGAACAATGAAAATCTAGTGGGGTAGGTCAGTAGGTGTCTGTGGAAAGTTGGTCTGCTTTCACATTAGAATATCCAAGTCATACGATAAATGATGGTTATCCCACTAACTGCATTACCAATTTACCATTCATTATTATCAAGCACCATCCTTGAACAGAGACTTATTCCATGCCACTTGAGGCCTACTTATTGGTTATCTTGGTTGGTAATTAAAAATCATGTAGGCGTGTCACAGTAATAGTTTGTTAAAATATTGTAGTCAATCTCTTGATAAAGCAACACATGATTCTTCATAGAGCCTTTTACAAGAAATGGAAAGAAACCAACTTTGGTTTCTTTTCAAAGTCGAAAGAAGGTGTTCTAGAGAAAGATGGTCTACGTATACTATAAGTAGGAAAGTTACTTGGAACAAAAATAAAGCAATCTAAGATTTAAATTTCTGCCTTAGAGCAACTATCATATATGCTCCACAATTCATTATTTAACCATTGCTTCATTAAAGTTGTGTGTGATTATATAAAATACTCCATAGCAATGAAATAAAATCTCATAAATCCTCCAACAACAAAAAAGTCAAAAGCAGGCCCAGTATAATCCTAACACTGTAGGGATCTGGTATGTCAAGATGTATGCAACCTTACCTTTGTAAAAACAAACAATAGAAATGTTGTTTCTGTAAAACCTTTAATGCAATGCTACATTAACTTCTCAATCGTAATAGGAAGTAAGATAAAAAAAATGTTTAATGTGACATTTTGATTTAATCCATTATTTACCAACATTGTTGAAGATGACTCTTTTGGCTCCATTGTCAAGGGACGGTAAAAATCTTCCAACAACCATCTAGTAGATTGATCAAATCTATTTAAGAGAGCAAGGATTTGATTTTCCAATTTTCCAACCCCGACTATTAAACAGGCATCCAAACAGCAGAACAAACATCCATGAGAACACGCCTACACACATAATTCACAAAACCTGGATCTGTATTCGATCCAAAATAAATCTTGCAATATAATACTCCTCAACTCATTTACTGTCCTGGGCTTCTGTTCTATTCTTCTAGCACTGACACTACTAGTTCTACCATTGTTGGGATTTATTGGTAGGAAAACATGGTGTTCATTTGATTTGTTTCCTTTTTACCATGTCGGGAAGGAAACCCAATTCCCACGCCTAAAGATTTGGAAAACATAAACCAATATAAACATTCTCACCTATCTCTAATAATATGAGTCCTTTTGGTAGGTGTCCAAAACAAATCACTTAAACCAGCACGAAGAACATCATACTAATTCAAAGTTAGAGTCGAGTAACTAGTACTAGTAAGTTGTATTAAATTATTCCTCCAAATGGCAAGACCACACTTGAAGAATGCTCCCTACTCATACAGGAAATAAAGAGATCCACTTCATAATCAATTACTCAAACAATGTGAGTATGCAATACAACAACTTCACTTTTGAAATGGCAAATTTTACTGCATACTGCAATGTCACCATTATGATGTCAATCTGTATTATATACGGAGTATTATGGAGCATTAGATTTATAGACTGTAGAAGATCAGATCGGAAGCTAAACTACGAGTAATTAACTAGTCAATTGAACGAAATGTTACAGCCTGACAAAAGTACAGTACTTACTGGCCAGGAGATGTGCGCTGTTTCTGAACCGGCGACGGCGGCTGCAGTGACTCCGGCATCTCAACACCGGAGAGAGGCTGAGAGAAGCCGCGACGATTCAAGTGGAAATTGACTTTCCTGATTCATCTCATAATGAATTCCCGGTTATGGTTTTCGCGCGCCGATGCGAATTCGTGCCCTTCTGGCTTCTGCACTCCCCTCTTTGATTTGCATAACACTTTGCAATTTCTCTTCTTTCTTGAAAAATTTTTGCAATTGAGATTTGGCAAGACTCAAATTTCATTAAACAAAAATGGTCAAAAACAATGTTTTTCTTGTATAAGAATTAAGAAATGAAGTTAATCAGCCAAAAAAAATTGTAGTAGTAAATCATCATAAAATGCATATAAATCGTTTTGTCTAAATTAGGACACTTAATTTCTATTCGTTTTTTAGTAAGAAGATTTTAACAATAATACGGTTACAAGTGAAAACTCTCTTTATTTGCTTGGAAAATGCTAAAAAACCCCACCCTTGCTACCACTCATGCCCCCTACATAAATATGTGGTAGGGAGGCAAGAAAATTAAAATTAGAGGGTAGATGGATAATAGGTAGAGAAGTGGGTGGAGGCAAGGTTGGTAGCAAGGGTGAGGGGTGTGTAGCATGTTCCTGTGAAGAAAGGAAATAGGCCGACGTTGGAGTCACCAATGTACTCTCATACTTTTACATTCACATAAGTGCCCTAAATTTTAAAGGGCCTTGTGCGGTTGGCCACTTTGCACACCCTCCGGGCCACCCATGGTACTATGTACCTGATGGTGTAAATATAATTGATGGATTGACCGGGTTTGACCTGGACACACTCGACCCGTAGTAAAATACACACAACAAGAACACAAAGTATGACTTAGACCGGCTACAAGCCAAGACACTGTTCAATCAAAGACTCTAAGGTGGATATTCCCTATCCAATCAACCTGCAAGATGTCAAACATCTCTTTCACTGCATGCCTCGTGATGGATGAAAAGCGGGGTGGTCCCCTGGCCTCTGATGCTAATTGCCATGCTTGAGAGGTTCGCCGAACATTAGCTAAGTAGAAGAATATGACTAATCACCTTTCCTTAAAGGTCGACCGGTCATTTCTTGAGCCTAATCCGTCTCTTTGGTCTTCCGGAGTGTCCTTCGCAAAATATGATCGGTCACTTTTTTAAGGCAAGTGACCGGTCAATTTTTGACTCGTCTAAATCGAAAAGTTGTTCTCATTTTGTAATCGTGTAAAGTGACCGGTCAACTTTTTGACCTGTCCCTTTTGGTTATTTAGGCCGGGTATAATGATATATCCATCAGTACCGAACCGAAAAATGAGTTTTCAAATGGTTCTATTAAAATTATAACCCAAAGCGATTGGTATGATAATCACAAGTGAAAACTCGCTAGAGATTGGTATGATAATCACAAGTGAAACCTCGCTTTATTTACTTTTAGCTCACTAATTCATATACTCCCTCTGTTTCTTAAAACCCTTCCTCTTTTCATTTTTTTGTTTTTCTTAAAACACTTCTCTTTTCTATTAAAAAACCACTTTTACCCCTACTTTTTCATACCCTACCTATCACATCATATTTTTTCACTAACAACTAAACTATCAAATCTTACTTTTACCCATCACATCAAGGGCAAAATTGGAAAGTCAATTACAATTTAACACTTTCTTATTTCCCTCCAAAGTCAAAAGAGGAACTCTTTTAAGAAACGGAGGAAGTAAGTTTTAATTAAAGTCCATTTGGAAAGGTGAAAAATGACTTCTAGAAAATATCTCATTTTAAGTCGTTTTCCAATCTTTTTGTTTTCTTTGTGTTTGGCAACCTTTTGAAATACTTAAATACTACATCTGTTCCAGTATATTTGTTTAATTTAACATTTTTAAGTCAAATTAGATAAATTTTGAACTTCAATTATTTTTAATTTGTATTACATATTAGTATAATTAAATAAATTTATGAAAGTTCATAGCTTAATAAGTCTAATAAAAATGGACGAGAGAGTTAACTGGGGAGTAGAGCTTGGGCGAAATTTCTCATGTTCGAATCCCCACGAAGGCTTACCACCTAAATACTTTATCCGTTATTTTATCTTCGCAATTCTATCGGCCTAATTTCCCGTGTTCGAATCCCCATGAAGCCGCAGTATCCCAAGTCGCCGGCGAGCCGCTGCCTATGCCGTTAACACCGCCGCAGATGCCCTGCACCTCTGCTTCCATGTAAATCATCCTCCTCCTAAAATCAAATTTTTTTCTTCCTGGGCTTTGTTTTACTGTAGCGATCTAAATACTCCTTATTTGTTTAATTATTTAACTATTTGAAGTGGGTTAGAGGAGGGGAAGGGAGGTAACCTTACCTCCTAACAGTACAAATCTCTCTACCGCCCATTTGGCGAAACACCTCGGTCATTATTTCCGTTCCGCTGTTGCCCTTCTAATTTTTTCTCGAAGCGCCGCTGCTCCCTAGCCACTCAGGAAATCCTATCGCAGATCCCTTAGCAGAGGCAGGTTCTTCCTCTCCCTTCATCTTCCAAGTTCCAACTGTTGGTTTATTATTATTATTTGCTAAGAATTGTAAATTGCTTTTTTTCCCTGTTTTCTTTTCGATTTTTATTTTTTTTTTCTAATTTCTTTCTGCTGCTGAGTTTTTGGTTTTTTTCTATTTTTTTGTTTTTGCTTTCTTTTCGTTTTTTCTGTGTTGTGGTGTTTTTTATTTGTTTTTTCCGGTTGTTTTTTTATGTTTTTTTTCATGTTGTTGAAGTAGCATGGTTTGTGTTGAAATATTGAAATAATAATATTGCTCCTTGAATTATGTAGTACATGATAAAGTATATATAGAAGAGATTCCTAACACAATTAGAAATAGAGAATAGAAACTAACTAACATACAACATCTACCACAAATAGGATTAGGAAGCTGACTAATAATGAAACACTACCATAACCAATACTACAAGAAGTACTATTAATATTATTGTCTAATTTTTTATGTTTTTTTTCATGTTGTTGAAGTAGCATGGTTTGATTATTTTCTGTTTTTTGGTTTATTGCTGGTTTTTTTTGTTATTAATATAAATATGCTATTTTTTCTTTTTTTGCTGTTTTTTCCATTTTTTGCTATGTATTTTAATATCATTTTTTATGTTTTTTGCCTTTTCTTTTACCTATTTTTTTAATATTTATTGAAATATATTGTTTTGTTTTTCAATTTTTTTTAGCTGTTTGTTTTTTTCAATATGAGTTTTTCCTTGGAGATGGCATTCTGGCTCGGTGGATTTGTAGTCATATAAATACATCCTAAACAAATAAAGGAAAACAACCACAAGGATATTTTAGTAGTTTTATTCTTTTCCTACCTCATCTTACCTAAAAACATCCAAACACAATTTTTAACTCATTACCTTACTTTACCTACCTTCAATTACCTACCATTACCTACCTAATAAAACTTTTACCTACCTCCAACCAAACATACCCTAAATGTACAACTTTGGGCTTAAGTTTCGGCTTACATTTAAATTTTCTCTTTTGTACTTCTTTTGTACTTTTAAGGGTAAAATTGTCTATTTAATATTAAAAGAGGGATTTTAGCCAATATGTGATTGGCTAGGCTGATTATTATATGATTATATGAAGGTTTAGCTTTTTATTAGTTTAGTTAGTGAAGTGCTAATTAAAGGCAACTTAGTCATCTTATGAACTTTGAATTTAGATTTATGATGCAAATGTATTTAAAAAAAAGCCAAGATTCAAAGAGTTTGAATCAAGTGAGAGTCCATCTAATTTGAATTATTTGAATGTTTCATCCTCTTTAAATCAACCGTTAGAACAAAATATTGGTAAACCTGAAACCCCTTTAATGTGAAGAGAATTAGAATTTTGAATCTTTAGAAGTTGATCCTAAGTTGAGAAAGAGATTATCATCCAAATGTACCAGATGAAATACATTGTAGATAGATACCTTTAAAGAAGATTATGCAAAATACATGACACAACTGGTCCAAAGCTATTGTTGCTTCCTTGGTGAGGCTTGGCTTTGCGAAACCAGTAGGAAGTATGTGGGCTTCGTACCGTTAGGTTAGTGAAAACGAAAAGTACTCTCTCCGTCTTTAACCCTTATGGTTTGACTTCAAGGAGTTTAAGAAAAAAGTCATTGATATTCGGTGAAAACTGAAATGCAGAGTATATGTGGTTCAAATTGATTTGGAAGAGAGAAAATTAAAGATGTTCACATATTTATTTCCTATAAGAGAAAATGGAAAAGTTTATTTTCTTCCCACCATCCTCTCCCCCAATCCGTGAAGTTTCTTTTAGCCTTCACATGCGTTGTTCTTGAATGCCCAGCCATTGCCAGGTCTGCCTCAACTCTGTAATTGTTTGAGATTGCAATCTATTTGTTGTTTTTTACCACGAATGGTTTGGTAACAATATTTTTCAATTAGCGATAGCATTTTGAATAGTTTTTAATGGTGCAGATTAATTTTGAAAAAAATTAAACGATAGCAAAGGATTGCAGAAGATTGCAGTTGGTGTCTATGGATACTATCGTCCACGCAGCACTAGAAGAGATATGTTCCCGGGGAGTCACCGGCCTTCTTCTCTCTGATCTCTGGTCCAAGTTGCAGCCGATACTCAAAACTCAAGCTTTAACTCTGAGCCCTAAATTCAAGAAGCACTTATGGGCTAACCTCCTCGACATTCCACACCTCCAATTTGAGTCCAGTGGAATCAAATATGGGCCTCACCATGATCTCATTTGCTCTGTTGAAGATTCCGAACGACTCAATCTGAAAATTGTTGCACCTGAGCATCTCCGAGATAGCTTCGTCGGGATATACGATGCGGATGCATCAGATACAAAAATTTCGCCTTCACAGCGCTGTGTTCTCGAACGCCTAGCCATTGCCAGGTCTGCCCTCACACCATGATTTGCCGTTTGTATTAAATGGCCCTAAAATTTCTGGATTATTTCATTTGGGTCATTCTTTAAGGGTCTTAGTCATATATAAATGCTGAAGCAGATTCTTTATTAGTGTTTGTCAATACAGATTTTGAATGTGCAGTAGCTTTTATTGTGTGGATGTGTAAATGTGTATTGTGTTTGGTGTACACACATATAGTTTGAACTATTTAAGGGGAATGTCTAAAATGGCCTGTAATTTTATGAACCCACACCACACTTGTCCCATACCTTGACACATGTATCCCGTTAAACTTGATGCAATTGCAGAGGTGATGGAATTACACAAAATGAGCTCGCAAAAGAATTTGGCATTAGTGGGAATGTCATTTTCTACACATTGAAGAAACTAGAGAGCCGTGGAATGATTGTAAGGCAGTCCACAATTGTTAAGGCAAAAGAACTTTCTAATGCAGACCAGTCAAAGCATGCTCCTGCTGTTAACACCAATATGGTCCACTTGTATCGCTACGCAAAACATTTGGGTTGTCAAAAAAGGCTTGAAATCACCAAGGATAAATCTTTGGCCGGCAATGAGAGTAGCATAGGAAATGCTGCAAGCAGGGACTGTTTTGCTGAAGATTCAACTAAAGAGGATGTGCACATTAGAGATTTTCTGCCTGCACTAAAAGCTATATGTGATAAGCTTGAAAAAGCCGAGGGAAAGGTCAGCTCTTCTATTCATTACCACCTGGATTTATATGTATAACCTTGCTTATTGTTATTTATGTATGGTTTTCTGCAATGAAGGCATTGGTTGTTTCGGACATTAAGCGGGATCTTGGTTACCAAGGAACCAGCGGGCATAGATTGTGGAGAAATGTAACTTTTTCTCGTATCTTATTACACTTTGTGATTTTTTATACTAATTATGGGTGGCTTTGGTTTGCATTTTCCAAAAGAGGCAATTTAGATTAAGAATCAAGTGGTTCTGAAAATCACAAGGACAAAGTGTTAATCCTGGGGTAAGGTGATTTCAAAATTTCCATTTCTGTAAAGTCATGGGAGAGGCTGATTTCCAAATTCTCATTTTGGAAACTGGAATCACATATCTCACTTTGGCCAGAGTACAAACCAAAGACAGTAAGGGTGATTGTGATTCTAAAATAAGCAAAAATCATCCTCTATTTTGAAACCAAATAAACTTTATATGTTGTTATCCTGGAAAATAACATAGGTAACTCCTGATTGCATTTGCCATTAGATTTGCCACAGGTTGAAAGAGGCCGGTATGGTGGAGGAGTGTTGGACTAAAGTGGATGGTAAAATAAGTACGAAGGTATTCATCTTAGTAAATTTGGCATTTTAAAATCATTTTACACTTCTTGATTATGTTTTGCATACGTACATCTAAACATTCCAATACTGGTATGCATAGCTGAGTTTACATGATTATTTATTCTTCAATTTCTCACTATGAACAGGAAGTCGTTTGCCTGCGCCTGTTGAAGGAGTTTTCACCAAAGCATTTTGAGCCAAAATCTCGTGCACGTGACAGTGATGATCTTCTCACAGAACAACCTACAAAATTGGCAAGGAGAGGCCAAATTACAGACCAGCTTGTAGAGCTCCCGATTGAGCATCAGATTTATGATATGATTGACACTGAAGGATCTAGAGGGTTGCAGATCACTGAAGTATGTAAAGCTTTATGGTTGACATTAAATTTAATCAGGTTTGGTTTTAGGTGATGAAGTGATGTACTTCAGTAATGGCATAGATTCCAATGTCTTTTCGGTGGCAATTACATGCAACAGGTTTGTAGAAGACTTGGGATAAACAGCAAGCAGTACTCTGGACGATTTCGTGATGCATTTTCAACACTTGGGATGCATCTAGAGGTTGAACGTCCTAATAGAGGTCTTGCTTACAGGGTCTGGACTTCGAGAAACTGCCATTCTGAACAACCAAATGTAACTCCAGACAAAGTCATGAAAGGAAATTCAGAGGGTAGTTTACTTGTAATGGGCCAGCACACTGAAGATATAAGCGCCTCACTTTCCAGTGACTATTCTAAAGGTAATGGTGAAAATAGTATCACAGAAGTTGAACGTGAAGGTCCTAGTAATCTAATACTGGACGGGGAGGGTAGCTCAACCTTACTCTCTTTGACTAAATCCCAGAACTCAGAACCAGAAACAAGCCATACAGTTCCAGATTCAGGGCTACATATAGTGAGCTCAGAATCATTTGATGCTGGTCAAGATGAAACACTTCCCGTCGCTGTATCTATACCTTCCAAACGCCGATCACATCAGAGGTATCCATGTCTTACAGCAGTTGCTATCAATGCACAGAGGGAACAACGGATACTTAAGATGTTGCAGGTCTCTTCCTCAATCTACCAATTCTTATTCACGTGCCAAATAATAAACTACTTTTATTGTTGCAGCTTTTAAATTAGCTCTATATTTCTTTAAGATTATTACTTTATTACAATCCTTTAAAATAGAAATGATGGATCTAAATATAATAGGAAAGGGAATCCTAATGAGAATATGAAATCATATACTTGCTATATTTCTATACATTAATTTTTCAACCATTTAGGCCACTAATAGTTAAAATTTTCCACATTGGGCAGGAAGAGAAGTTCCTTATAAAGCCTGATCTACATAGACGGCTTGATAGCCTTCAGAGTAGCATGATGGACAGGAAGACCTTAGAGCGGTGTCTGAACAAGCTTCAGGAAGAAGGGCATTGCAGATGCATTCATGTTAGTGTTCCTGTTCTCACAAACTGTGGCCGTAACCGCACCACGGAGGTGGTCATGCACCCATCGCTATCCCGAACTCCTGAAGTCCTGGGACAAATTCACGAGAAGCTAAGGTCTTTTGAAAGACAAGTACGCAGTCAATCTCGGTTGGAAAAGGGGCAAATGACTCCTAAACTGAATGATGTTCAGAGAATCCCGAAAGGAGCAAAATTGGACAGCCAAACTGAGAAATTAGAATTGATGCGTGCTAATGGATATGTTATGGCAAAGATGGTTCGAACAAAGCTTCTTCACATTCACTTGTGGGGTTACATCTGTAATTCACCTGGTTGTGATGATTTTTTGTCATCATGTAAGCAAGGATATGACTTGAAAAATCCACACAGTACTTGTAAGTTGATCGATTTAGATGCTGCAATCAAAGCGATGCCGCTTGAATTGTTTTTACAGATTGTAGGCTCCACTCAGAAATTTGACGACATGATAAAGAAATGTAGGAATAGTTTGTGCCTGTGTGATCTATCTCCACAGGAGTACAAATGTTTAATGGATTTGCGAGCAACAGGACGGTTGTCATGGCTAATTGACATCTTACAACGTTTAAAGGTATTCTTGGAATCATATTCATGTTGCAAGCTATTTAAGTGCTTTTGTTGATGAATAAGTTCATGCATATTGTTAAGTAGCTTAAGAAACTATGTTCGTATTAGCTAGCCTAAGATAAGATTTTAATTCTCTTGTTTGTATGTAAGCAAGCTAATGCTCTATCCTCATTTGTTCTCTGGGCATGGCTTCTATTGCATCTTACTAAAAGTTTTGCTTATCTGTTTAGTATTCTTGAGGTAGAACAATGAAACACTACATGTGAAAGTAGATCCATAATTGAAAATGGAAAAATTCACACAAGCCCAGACTTGGCTGATTATACAATATTACTCCTAGATTCTCTTTTGCACGCCTATCCTCCAAGAAATCACTTGATTTCATATCGGTACTCCGACTGAGTTAGCATTAGGCTTAATTGCATGAAATTATGTTAGTTGACATAGTGTTTGAAATAATGAGTTGGCTTATACAGAGTGCGTTGAAACTCATAGATTGAGTTGCTTTCACGCTAGGAAAAAGACGAGGAAGAAGGCGGATGATGTCACCAAGGTTTAATTAGGGTTCTTTCATTAAGTCACTCAACAAAAAGTCCAAATGACGTCCTATTCAATTATATTACTTTATATGTGTTGCCAACTCATTTTTTTGAACACTAAAAACTTTATTACAAAGTAGTATTTGTTCATACATTCTCAACATATTAAAGTACATAGAGTTACGACCTTACTGGGGTTAGAACCTGCGATCTCTCATTTGGGAGAGTCACTTTGATGCTGCTGGACTACAAAGTTTTTGGTTTTTTCCAACTCGTTTTTTCACATGTCATGTCATCTAAAATATTTTCATGTAATTAAGTCTGAAGCTGACTTAGTCGGATTGGAGTAACAATATAAAATCCGGTGATTTATCAGAGTATTGAGGTGCGAATTAGAATCTGGGAGTAATATTGTATAATTGGCCAAATCTGGGAGTACAGCATTTTTGTGAACTTTCCAATTGAAAATCCTTGAACCTGTTTTTTTACTTTTGTGAATATTGTTATGGCTGTATGATGTCGTTTTTGAATACCCCACTACCTCACAAAGCGATGTAAGTTCATTTGTTTCTTTGATTTATGCACATGCATACACAATAGGGCTTTAGACATACTCTTGGGATGATCCATGATTTGTGCGTTGGTTATATAGTATCAATCTTGTAATGGAACAACAGATACTCAAATACCTTCTCAAATCCCACAAGTAAGATTTTGGAGGTTGATGTATGCAGACCTAATCCCTACCATCTCAAATTCATATGAAACTCTGAAGCTTTAAAATTATGTGACGAGTGGCAGTCTGATGCTCAGAGACTTTTAATGAGGAAACATCTTGTGTGGGTGTTAAAATACGAATTATACATTTTAAGAATGGGTAAGAACTAAGAAAACAAAATACGGAGCATGTAATATAATACAAAGTTGTCCATGGTCATAAAAGGTTTGTTAGTTTCATGAAACCTCATGTTCCATTTGTCATTTTATCCTAATAAGTTCTTAATTTTTTGGCAGTTAGTTCGGCTTGTTAGTGGTGAAAAAACAGAAGATAGAGCTGACATCTCTCAGACAACTCTTACTTATTCATTGGAGATAAGACCTTATATTGAGGAACCTGTCTCTATTGTTGCATCATCTTATGATTTCTTTTCGTATGATCTTCGCCCTCAAGTTAGACACGATTTTGTCCTCTCTAGAATAAGAGCTGTTTATGAATACTGGAACACGTTAGAGTATTGTTACGCTGCTACCAATCCTAAGGTTGCAATTTATGCATTTCCTGGATCTGCAGTTCATGAGGTTAGTTGAAAACTACTTCTCCCCTAATTTTAAATTATACCACTATTATGAATTTTCAAAACCCAGTATTATGTCTGAGTTTTCATTTTTCGTTTGGGCTTATAGTTTTTTTTTAAATTAAACAAAACATGTCTAATTTTGATCTCTTTGTGCTTGCCTCCTCTTGTGATGCTAATGGAACTTGGAAAATTGTTTATTTGCATCTTGTATCCTACAAATATAATCGCTTCAGAGGTGTTTTGATTGTGGTTTTTCTCGTCTAAGTTTTTACCCCATGTTCTGATAAACAAAGCCTTAAATTCCAATATGTTCTGAGTTGTTGGCATGTCACATTGTTTCCATGCTGCGGAACCTAATAAAAAGAGTAACATTGACAGGATGTTGAGAAGGAATGAACAGTGCTCCAATCACTCTTTGTATTTGTGGGGCTAGTGAGTTTGCGTATTTTATTGTACTCCGTAAATCAGTTCCCATCATCATAACCCTTACAGTTTTTCTCTCAATAGAGTGCATTTTTTAACACAAAAAGCATAAAGCATCTTAACAGCAAATGGCAGAAGTCAGAACATATAACCAAAGCACAAAAATGGAATTTTCGTGTATGCTTTTGAGTATCATGACGCCTTTCTCTTGAAAGAATGCATACTCTAAGAGTTTAATCTTTGACAATGAGAGAAAATGTGAACTAGCTGCCTCTCTTTTAACTTGTTTTAACTTTTAAAAATTCATTGCTATGTGATTAAAACTTGAAAGTAATTGCATATGAATTTATTTGGCTAAAAAAGAAGATATCGGTCCATTCCACAACCTCCTAATTTTCTCTACACAGAAATCAAACCAAACACGCCCAGTATATCCCATTCAGAAGTAGAGTCGAGGAGGGTGAGATATACATAGACCTTTCCACCACCCAAGGAGTAGAGAGTCTGTTTCTGTGAAAATTCTGCAGTGGGAGGTTGAACAGTGTTAAGTTGTGCACATTGTTAATTTGGCTTAGATCGCTTGACTTTGACTTTATAATTCCTTGCTGAACTTAAATAAAAGCTCTCCACTATCTTTGGTTCAAGGAATTTGAAAGGGAAAAGAAAAGAAAATGATATGAAAAACAATATTTCTTGTTTAGTTAGAGAGGAAAATAAAAGAAAAGTGGAAGCAATGTTCGAAAAGGCGTATTGCGGTTTTGAGGCGTTTTCATTTCATGGCGTATTGCGTAAGCCTTGAGGCGTTTTGAGGCGTAAGCCTCAATTTTTAAATTGAAAAACATTTACAAAATAATTAAAAACCAAAGATAGAACATAATGTACAACATAAAAAATCCAAAAACATGAAAAAAGTATATTGTCAAAGCAATACATCGCAAACATAACAAAGTCTAACATGGAATCAGACATAATTTTGCTCGAAGTGATGAGCTTAAATTGAAGAATTGAAAAAAAGTTCATCAGTGTCTAACGGCTTGAAATTAGGATCAAAAGATGATGCTTAAATCGACTAATCCCGCCTTTGACATCTTTTTTACAAAAATTGCAGTTTACATATTTGTAGTTTTTTTTTGTCCTTCGATATTGGGTGTTGAGTCAACACCATACTTCCATGCTGGGTCCGACATTTAAGCAATATTCTAATTTCTGAAACACCAAAATAAACAATACAATACTATGCAATAATTCATCTTAAAAAAAAATAGAACAATTAGCACATCAGTTATCAAAAAAAGAAGAAAAAAAAGGATATTAACAGATAAAAAAAATCATCTCATCCAACTACTTGAAAAAATACCAATCATAAACTCATAAAAAACATCAATTGAATGCTAGTGTACTTCACAAAAAGCTTACCAAAAAAAATAAGAAAAAGAAAAAAATAGCACCACTTGACAATTGTAAAAAGAGAAAAAGGCAAAGTTGGACAGCTGTACAAAGCAGACATAAAACGCAGCACCCTATCTTTTGCATGTGCTGGAAAGAAAGAGCAGAGACGCAGACAAAAAAACATACCTTTTCGCCGGAGAAGAAGATTGAAGACGGCCGACGCTGGAGACGGTTCGTAGCTCGCAAAAGGTAATCAACAAAGACTAGGGTAATCGACACTCGACAAAGGTAATTTTAGGATATATACACTTAATTGGGTTAATTTCTAATCCTTGAATTGCGTAAGCCTTAATGCGCGCACCGGCGCGTACGCCCCATGGCGTACGCCTTTCAGAGAATTGCGTAAAAAAAAACCTATAGCGTGAAATCGGGATTAGCACCAGTGCGTAATTTCCAGAAAAAGTTACGAGGCGCGCCTTGAGGCGGGTTTGCGTTCCGCCTTTTCGAACATTGAGTGGAAGTAAAATAAACTATAATGAAGGAAAACAACTTTCTCTCCATTTTGGTGAGGAAAAGGAGAGAAACCTCTTTCTTTTATTTTCCTTCTGAATTCCAGGAACTAAACATAGTGCTTAGGTTTCATAACCCCTTAACAAAATTTATGAACATGTTGCTGTTTCTTTCCTTGTTTAGCATGAATCTATTATTCTCCTCTCTTGAATTCTTCTAACCTGTCAATATCTCTGTTTCTTCCAATTGGTAAAAAATGGCTTTCAGGTGTTTTTTTCTAGATCATGGGCTTCAGTCAGGGTAATGACAGCTGACCAGCGTGCTAAGCTTCTTAAGCGTGTTTCGAATGATTGCTCAAACAAAAAACTCTCCTTCAAGGAGTGTGAAGAGATTGCTAAGGACCTGAATTTAACAATGGAGCAGGTTTTCATTCTTTCTCGCACTTGATCAATCAACCTCAGATCACGTGATAACTATATTTATAAAAATGCAGTCCCATTATTGCTTGACTATAGACTTTGCTACTTAATTTGATTGTTACTACTCCCATTGCTACTTGACCTAGTAGTAGTAGTAGCAGCAGCAGCAGCAGCTGTGGCAGTGGTGGTGGTGGTAGTGGTGATTGTGTGGCGGCAGTGGTCGCGGTGGTGGGGTTGGTCACTGTGGTAGCGGTGGTTGTGAGGGTGGTGGTGATTGTCTTCTGCATTTGCATAGAGCTGTCACAATTCTAGCTCTAACATGTATTAATGGTAGAGAATTGGTGTATGAAAGTTATTTTCAGACATAGTTAGGCAACTTTAGCTCTAACATGTATTACTTATGGATCACATTGGTTGGTGGACAGAAAATAAGTGTAGATGCACGTACAAATAGTTCTTTTTTTGATCTTCTATCATGTTGGTGTTAATTTGAGGGCTAAATGTGTAATTTCACAATGATAATACATCTTTCTTGTCATACACAATTCCAAAGGCCGCTTCTGGCGCGTCGTTTGTGAATTACAGTCGCTTTCTACTACAACCATAGTCTACAGATGTGGTCTTTCGTCGTAATCCTAGCTCATAATCATAGTTATTTTTGTGTTATTCATCTAACCAATACCAGATTACGCCACTAGACATAAGGTTGATGTCAAATTATACTTTTAGCCTTTAAATTAACACTAACATGACAGAAGATTAAAAAAAAGACCATTTGTGGAAAGGTACCCATAAAAGGACTACGGGAGTAATATTTGATAATAGAGGACTAAATATGGAAACCCCCTTGTTATAAAGGACCATATATGGAATTTACTCTTACGATATTTATCATCATTTGAATTTCTTGCAAAGGAGTGTACAATATGATGTTTTCCCTTTCACCTGTATTATTTTTCATGTGATTTTCTATATGGATATCATATTGTATGCATCTTGCAGGTGCTTCGTGTTTCTTATGATAAAAGAAAGCACGGTCTTGATAGAGTTGAGAGAGTCCCTGAGCAAGGAGAGAGTCAGCCCTTAAAGAGTACACATGCATCGTCTTCAAAGAAAAGAAGATTATCAGGAGCACGGTCCTCAAAAAATGGATATGATGGTGAAGATTTAGAAGAGAACTCAGGACCATCCCGGGTGCCTGATGTTGATAAAGACCTGTTCAATGAGGCACACGATTCTTTCCCAGCATCAATAGATAATAGTTCTCATTTATGGACGGATGTGAATAGTGATTGTATGAGAGCTACTGAAGAGCCAGAATCAAATGAACAGAATGAGGATGATTCATGCATTCACAGGCCTTCTTCATCAAAGATGAATTCAAAGCACAAGATGAAGTTTTCTTGGACCGATAGTGCAGACAGGTAATTTTAAGTGGGCTATGGCCATTGGTTCAAAATGGTATCAATTTTAAAATATAAATCTATTATTTCTCAAGGTTAGAAAATACTCCCTCCATCCCACTATGTTTGGGACAAATGAAAGTGACACACAAATCAATGAAAAGTGGAATTGTGTACTTGCTATTGTTTCAGCCACATAAATGTTTAAAAATATGGGATTAGACACAATTTCAGACGGATGAAAATCGGACAAACATTGTGGGACAGAGGGAGTATATATAATTGGTCTAATTGCATCTGATTTGGAAAGTGCTTGGTGGTTTAGAGCATGTGCAATGGCAAGGAAGAGGCATGCCATGCACTGCCACATCAGCTTCTTCCACACATATCATGGCATGGCAAGGCTAAAATGCCTTGCTTTGTGAGGCATGAGTGTGGCACTCCATCCTTCTTTTTTTATTTTTTTTAAATAAATTTTTTTAAAATTTTTTATGAAAAAAATGTACAAAAAAGTAGAATAATTTTTTAATAAAATAAATAATAAAAATATTTTTTTTATGTTTAAAAAACATAGAAAATTGTAAAAAGTGATAAAAAATAATGACTTGCCATTGTAGAACTTGCCACTCCATTCACTTGTCACACGCTGACTGTACTATTTTTGATTGGTTAAAATGTTCCATGTCACCGTGTGGCATTCCATTTTTGCCTTGCCATTGTTCATGCTCTTATAGACTGTTTGCAAGAGGTGTTGTTTGGTTTTAAAACATTGTTTTGTACAAAATGGTGTTTTTATTATTTCAAGTGTTTAAAAAAAATTAAACACTCCATCAAACAGTTAACAGAACTGTGGGTGCATGTTTCACTTAAAACAATGTTTTGGGAGCCAAAACACTTCAAAACCACCTTAATAGAATTTTTTCTGGCATTACTTATTAGTGGTTTGCATTGGCATACTGGCGCCGAATGACTTATTTTCTAAGTTACAAATTATGAGATGGTGTTTTTAAACTTTTGATAGTATTTAACTTTGAAATCCTTGTTTAGGCAATTAGTGATTGAATACGTCAAATGTCGAGCAGCTCTTGGAGCAAGCTTTCACCGTGTTGACTGGTCCTCCCTCCGAAATCTTCCTGCACCACCTGATGCTTGCAAAAGGAGAATGGCATTGTTGAAAAGCTATCCAGAATTTAGAAAAGCTTTAATGAGGCTCTCAAATGTGCTCTGTGAGCGCTATGTGAATTACCTTAAGAAATTTCAGCATCAATCATTGAATCAAACTGGCAGCACAATGATGATTCTTCATAAGAATTCTTTTGCTGAGGAATGCAATAAACATATCATGGATAGGTCCAATCATACCACAGTATCTCTTTTTGATGAGGAGTGGGATAATTTTGATGATGACAGTGTAAAAGCGGCTCTTGATGATGCTCTACAACTTAAAAAGAAAGCTAAATTGGTGGCCTCAAAAGAAGCAGAACCTCTTGATGATAAGTGTGCAAAGGTGAATATCTATCCTGAAGTACTAGTAACTTACATCCCAATTTTAGATTCTACTAGTATCAACCCCGTGCTTCGCACGGGCTCACATATTTTCCAAAATTTGACATCTAAAAAATAAATTATAAGATACATTGTTTTTTTAATTAATAAATTTTATATTTTTTTGTATTATAAAATAGTCGCGTATATTTAAAAAATATGTTAAAACAACAAAAAACATTTCTTAAATAGTTAGAAAGTGAAAATTTTATAAAAAGAATAAAAATAAGGGTTTTTATTGTTGGAAAGTGAAGGATTTATAAAATATAATAAATATAATGATTTAATACAAAATTGAATATGCATATGTGGAGTGACATGTGTCTTGTGATTTACACGTGGCATGACACATGTAAGTAATATGCACAGGTGGCATGACACGTGTCATCACCACAACTAAGTAACTCTATTTTACACACACACACACACACACACACACATATATAGGGGCTGGTTCAAGTGAGAATGCACCTTGGTGAAAGAAATAAGAATAAAATCTGGCATTTGGATCTGATGCATCGTGCGGCTCAGATTGCATTCTGCACTCAAATTTTGAGATAGTGCATTTTCAAAGGATTATGGTGCATTTTGACATGATGCATTTTCAAACCATCTTGGTGCACTCAATTTTGATGCAATCCTAACCCTTAGATCTACCAATCTAATGCACCATATTCATTCTTATTTCTTTCATTAGATTGCATTCTCACCTGAACCAAAATCTATATATATATATATATATATATATATATATATATATATATATATAGGATATAGGATATGTAGTTATGTACCTTTAACTGCTATCGTAGCTTGTATTTATTTGCAGCTCAAGTGATTCATCTGGTAAAAACTGATTTTGTGTTCCTCGTTACGGATTTTTGGGATTTTCTAAATTATCTCTCTATTTCTCGCTGCAACACCAGCACCATTGAATATGTTTATTTTTAGTGCATCTGGGATATTCCTAAATCTTTTTGTTTATGGTTCCTTTTTATTGCTTGTTTGCAGTTCCCTTGTGGCCAAGATACTGAGAGTCTTGCTCAAAGGAGTAAAGTTTCTGGTTTAAAATCATGCTCCAATCTAATTGCTCAAAAGCTTGTTAAGCCTTTGAATGGACGAATCACTGTCAGTAAACATGCTCATGAATCAGTAGCAATCGCTAATGCTCTAGAGCTGTTTAAGCTCATCTTCCTCAACACTTCTAAATCGCCAATGGTTCCAAGTCTGTTAGCTGAAACTTTAAGGCGATACTCTGAACATGATCTGTTTTCTGCCTTCAACTATCTTAGAGAGAGGAAAATTTTGGTAAGAAATGACTTTTTTTATTCACTTTTGGTACAGTTTATGTCCCTAGGGGGCTAATGTCCTGTTACTTCTCCAGCTGGACATAAAGAAAAATGTGAAAACAGGACTAATACATGCAATCATTGTTCTGCCATGGTTCCCCATTTGTATGTGCCTGTTTTCCCGCTATACATGTGTACATCACCACTATCATCATCATCATTATCTGCACAGTCAGTTGCTATAAATATGTAGTGTCAATTAATTGTATAAAGTTAATGTACTCTAAAATTCGTGTAAAAATATAGTAGCAATTTTTTACCTGTATGCCCTTGTTCAACCTTCATAACAAGGGATAATAAGATGAAACTTCTAAATCCGTCATATGTTATTTCCGGTTGCATGGAAACGACCAAAAGACAGTGATATTTGCTTTTGTCATCTCCGTTACATAATTGATATTGCTATATCAACATAAACATGATATGTTTTTCTGCCACAGTTTCTAAGAAAATTGTGCTTTCTTCTTTTTCCAGATTGGTGGCAATGCCAATAGTCCTTTTGTACTTTCTCAACACTTCTTGCATTGCATCTCTCTTTCTCCATTTCCAATAAACACCGGAAAAAGAGCTGCTAAATTTGTCAGTTTGCTACGTGAAAGCGAAAAGGAACTGATGGCTGAGGGGTTTGCTCCTCCTGTAGATTTGGAGTGTGGTGATGTTCTCCATATATGTGCTTTGATTGCTTCAGAAGAACTCTCAATTACACCTTGCCTGCCTGATGAAGGTGTCGGAGAGGCTGAGGATTCTAGGGATTCTTCTAAAAGAAAAACTACTCATAGTGAGGTTGATGATGGGGGGCGGTCAAAGAAATTGAGAACCACATTTCCTATTGATGGTGAGATCATCTCCCGTAGAACTAAAGGTTTTCCAGGCATCCATTTACAGTTGAGACGCGCAACAATTTCTAGACTTGAAGCTTTGGAAACATTCAAAGAAGAGGCTATGACTACCTCCAGCATATTATCTGGAGACCATCAAATTGGTACGTTTTCATGTAATATGTTATCCAAGTCTGATGGAGACCTCAGAGATGAGACACCTCATCATTCTGCTTGTCTTTCCACTGAGTCGCCATGGGATGCCATGAAAAGTTATGCAAAACATATTTGGTCATGTGGTTCTGAATTAGAAGAAAATAATGTGTTGCTCCCTGAGCTGTTTAAGGCTGTTTACTCCGCCATTCAGAAGGCTGGTGACCAAGGTTTGAGCATGAAAGAGATCTCCATGATTGCGAACTTGCAAGGTAAGCAATTCTATCTTTATTTGTTTAAGACATCTAAATGAATGCCATGACTTATGATATTGATTGCATTGTGGTCCGTTCACAGGGGAAAAGATGACAGAACTTCTTGTCGGGGTTCTTGAGACATTTGGAAGAGTTTTGAAGGTTTGTCTTTCTTGGATATAAGAAGGCTTTTGTACAATATGCTTGCGTACATTACTAGACTGGTTATTTTTTTCGATTGGTGTGTGTGGGAGACAAAAGCTTTTCATCAGGAGACAAACAAAATCCTCAGAAAGGAAATTAAAACTAATTTAGCAACCATATATAGCCTGTTTACAAATATTTGTATGTACTACATATATTGTACATTTCATATTAATTATGATGAAAATGGATATTGGGGGCCCTCACAGAAACCTTCTGCTCCTTAGGGTAGAGGCAAGTTTTGCATACATCATCCTCCCATCATACCCTTCTTTTGAGTAAGAATTAGTCGGTTTGAGAAGCTGAAACCATGCCACCTCCCTTGTTGTCCTCTTCCTTTTGTGTGAGATAGCCTGGTTGGTTGTTTTGCGTTTAATTTCAGGGTGTTATTTTTTTGAGAAATGGAAACCATCATGAGATATACTGGGTTTGTTTTGTTTTGGTTTAATTTCAGTTTTTTTTTGTTTGAAAATTGAAACCATCTTAGACACCTCCCTTATTGTCTTTTTTTTTCCTATTTCCCTTGTTAGGGCCAAGAGTATAGAAACAATGATAACAAACCCAATATATTCCTAACTCAATTGGGGTATGGGGTCAAGATGTACATAACTTTACCCTTTTAAATAGGGGTTGTTTCCATCAGACCCTTTGATGCACTGCAGTATTCACTGCCCAAAACTTCATCAAAAGTAAGAAGCAACGGAAGTTTAAAGTGCCATTTTGATTTAGTCCATTATATACTCAAAGCTAAAACATTCTCAAATGACTCTTTTAGCTCGATTGGCAATGCCAATTTGATTTAGTCACCATTATAGAAGCCCAACACTAAAATAAATAAGAGAATGAGTTCATAGCTTTTGTTTTGAATAATCTTAGTTGGTTTTTCTTTTCCATTATTGATGCAGGTCAACGCATTTGATTCAATTCATGTGGTTGATTCTTTATACCGATCAAAGTATTTCCTAACCAATTCCACAGCAGCTATGTCCATCTCTGAAAATCCCACGCACACAATTAATGAGAACCCGTTGACTGGCAATCATGAAAGCAATGGTGTTGACTTGCATAAGGAAACTGCTGCAAATCATAGCGAGGTGCACAGAGTCACTATTCTAAATCTTCATGAAGAGGTGCCTGAAGCTTTGACTGGAATGGAATCGGGTTTTCAATCTGGAGGAGTTTTGAATTTGGAAGTTAGTACTCCAACTAAAGACCATGACCATACCATACTGGAAGGTCATTCTGTTGGTTCCCAAACATACCAACGTATATTACCTTGGATAAATGGTGATGGAACTATCAACGAAATCGTATACAAGGGACTTGTGCGGCGTGTTCTTGGGTTTGTGATGCAAAATCCAGCGATACTTGAGGTATGCTGAAAAAAAGTACTTGAGTTACTTTGAAGGTTGAAATGGCTGACGAGAATTAAAATGGAACTTAAAACTTCATTTTATATATTTGGCCATATTAGCTACAATTGCATCAGAATCAATCATTTTAGGCCTTATCAAACGTGGCTCTTAGTCTTCATTAAATTATTATGAGCATAATATTTTGCAGTCAAGTACATTGTTTTGTAGTTGCATGTTTGTTTTCTCCAATCTGAAATGTTCTTTTGTACAAATTTTTCCATTATAATTGTTGCTTATTTTTTTCTCTGCCTATTGTCCATTTGATTCCCGTTGAATAAGAAATGTTTTTTTCCATGTCACAGGATGATATTATTAGCCATCTCCATGTTTTGAATCCTCAGGTAAGCAGCTTAATTCACAATTCTTATGCATTAAACTCTCCACCCCATGGTTTTGACAATATCTTGCAATCCATGTTTCGTGTGCGATGGCTATTAATTTTTACCAAACACTAGCTTATTTGGCTAACAATGGAAAAAATATTGAACGAGTTTTTTTTTGTTGGCATCAATTTCAAGAGATTCAACCATTTTAAATCTTATCAAATGACACTAATTAGTTTAGTTCATGTTTGTGGGAATGCCACAAAGAAGCTCTGAACTACTTCTACCCGTGCGCTAACGCCATTTTATTTGTGGTGGGTGCAGAGCTGCAGAAGTCTGCTGAAGTTGATGGTTCTGGACAATTACATCAAGGTGCGCAAGATGCACCAGAGAACATCGGCACCACCCGCCATTCTTGGTGGCCTTCTCAGCGGCGGCCATTCCAAGAAGCCGAAGCTAGTTTTGCGCGAGCATTTCTTCGCAAACCCTCTTAGCACCACGCTCCTGTGATCGTACATTTACAAAGATTCAACAATAGCAGCCTCTCCTCCTTTGTGGAAAAAGATTTGGTGGGTGGCCATGGGGGGGGTATGTTTTCGCAGATTTTACCCCTACTTGGTAGTTGAGATCTAGTAAAATCCCACAAAAGTAGAGTGTGCAGAGGATATGTGTACCTAAATCTTATTACCCCTATTTGGAAGTAGAGTTTGTTTGGAAGAGTTCCATGTCTGTATGTACATATACATATGAATCTAAGCGTCCAAGAAGTAAATAGCAAATGAGGACGACTTTTTGTACTCAATATAATGCACTCTAATCTCTACGCAGTAGAGAAAATTAATATTTTAATCATTTTCCTTCTTAATTGGTATGGAAATAAAAAAAATTACCGATCAAAAATACATTAAGAGTTATACAAAATAAAAAGTGGCACGGATATTTTATATTATCAAATGATCAGTGAAAAATATAAATAAACAAAAGTTGGCAAGAAATTGTAATAATGACAATACAATTTATTTTGGGACGGAGTGAGTGTGATTTTGGGACGAAGGGAAGGTTTTGAGATGCATTTTATTTTTGTTATTAGCAGGGAAGACAGATGATGAATTTACTTTGTTTGTTTAGATGGAATTATGGAAGAATTAAGCTAGGGGTACACCAACATGGGGTACCCCATGTTGGTGAACCCCTAGCATTGCCCTTTTTAACAACATTATTGTCAATGAAATTTGAACCAAAACACTATTTTGGCCAAACAAATAGTATACATCAAGTGATTGAGTATGTTGAAATTCATAATCCATTTGAATATGAGTTCTTATCACAGATATATCAAACCAATTTTCATACATGCAAAAAAAGTTTTTGGAATATGGATAAAGATAATTAGAAATCAATACTAATGAATCATTTGTAATGGTGAGAGAGGAGAAAGTCTAGCTATGAGAAATTAAGCAAATATTTTACTACAGGTTTGCAAGATAAAACATTTATAAGAATTTTTGTAGTTCGGCATGCTTTTGCGATAGTTTATTTGTTTTTTTGTTCAAACACAAGTGATAGTTAGATTTATTTTTAGAACACGTTTAGCAATTTATCTATTATATTAATATGAGACACAAACTTAATGCAATTGATATTACTATCGATCTAATATATTTGTGAAATCTAAATTTTTGGCCTAATTTGATATGAAAATGATTACATTAGATTTAAGTTATTGCTAATCTTTAATTTTTTTATTTCAAATTACTAATACTCCATATGCAATGCAAATTGTGTTAGTAATTAATGATTAGAAGTTGCCAAATTTGATTAAAAAACCAAACTGAGTACATAAATTAGAAGGTAGGAAAGTATTTTTATGCCACTAGATATTTTTTCAGTTTTGATTTTTACTGTTAATTATTTTTAACTTTTCACCTATAACTAAAAAATATACTCGTATATGGTATATTAATTAGTTAAAATAATATTTTAACTATATTTTATAAAATAAACCTAATAAATTTCTTCTTATCTCAGAATCTAGTACTATTTTTATAATTCATGATTAAAATTCGCCAACTTTAACCGAAAAAAAAAACAAAATTAAACAAATATTTAGTGAGTGTTAAATTTCATTTGAGGCGGCGAAGGGAGTGGCGGTTTCATCATTTGAATGGAAGTGGCGTGGCGGGAGGTTTAAGTGTAAAGCAGCCATGAACTCTCCGGCCGCCGTCGTCCCCAAATCCCTTGCGGAGATCAAAGCGGCTCTGTTTCAAGGCTTCGGCTCGTTCAACCACCTCAAGCACATCCACGGCCGGCTTCTCCGCTGCGGTTTCCACCAGAACAACTACCTCCTCAACCAATTGCTGAAGCTTGCCCTCAACACCTTCCACCGCCCAAACTACGCCAGGCTTCTTTTCAGCCAGACCAGAGACCCCAACATCTTCCTCTGGAACACCATGATCCGGGGGTTTGTGACCAACGATTGCTTCGATCTCGCCATTGAGGTCTTCAATTCCATGCGCCGGATGAGCTTCTTGCCCAACAATTTCACTTTCCCTTTCCTTCTGAAATCTTGCGCCAGGGTTTCGGACTACGAAACGGGATTCAAGGCTCATAGCCTCGTCTTCAAAACTGGGTTTGATCGCGATCCGTTTGTGAACACCGGGTTGGTTTGTTTTTACGCGAGATGTGGGTTCATAGAGGATGCACACAAAGTGTTCGACGATATTCCCGAGAAGAATGTGGTTTCTTGGACGGCGATTATCAGTGCTTATGTTGATCTGGGGAGGTTTAGAGAAGCAGTTGATTTGTTCCGCAGGTATCTGGAGATGGGTTTGGTGCCTGACAGTTTTATCCTTGTTAGGGCACTCTCTGCCTGTAGCCATTTGGGAGATATTGGAAGTGGTGAGTGGATACACAGGTATGTGTTGGACACTGGAGCAGGAAGGAATGTGTTTGTGAGTACTTCTCTGGTAGACATGTATTCGAAATGTGGGGACATGGAGAAAGCCCACCGTGTCTTTGATGAAATGCCTCAGAAGGATATTGTCTCATGGAGTGCTATGATTCAAGGCTACGCTGCGAATGGCCTCCCCAAGAAGGCACTAGATGTGTTTTACAGAATGCAAATGGTGAATTTGAGCCTTGATTGTTATTCAATGGTTGGGGTACTCTCTGCGTGCGGACGATTAGGAGCCTTGAACGTGGGTATCCAGGCGGCTAAGCTAATGGACAGAAAAGAATTTCAGTCCAACCCTGTTTTGGGCACATCGCTCATAGACATGTACGCGAAATGCGGTCAGATGGATTTGGCCTGGCTAGTGTTTAAAGACATGAAGTTGAAGGACCGCGTGGTCTGGAATGCCATGATTTCTGGGCTTGCAATGCACGGTCATGTTAGGTCTGCATTTTCCTGTTTTGCCCAACTAGAGAAACATGGCATTCGTCCTGACGGGAACACCTTCATGGGCCTCCTTTGTGCTTGCACTCACGCCGGTCTTCTCAACGAAGGCCGACGCTTTTTCAACAGCATGACCCGCGTGTATTTCTTAAATCACGACATTCAACATTACGGGTGCATGGTCGATCTCCTCGGGCGTAGCGGTCGGTTACAGGAGGCCCGTTCCTTAATCGAAGGCATGCCGATGAAAGGCAATGCCGTCATTTGGGGTGCCTTGTTAGGTGGGTGCCGATTACATCGCGACACTAAGTTGGCTGAATATGCTGTCAAAAAACTGATTGAACTCGAGCCTTGGAACTCCGGAAACTATGTTCTTCTCTCAAACATATACTCAGCTGACCACAAATGGAACGATTCAGAGAAGATCCGATCAGACATGAACGAAAAGAACATTCAGAAGATACCCGCGTATAGTTGGATAGAAGTCGACGGAACTGTTCACGAGTTTCTCGTGGGGGATACAAACCACCCGATGTCGGATCAGATTCATTCGAAACTTGTGGAGTTGGAGAAGAGGTTAAGGGAAGAAGGGTATGTTCCAAAGACAGAATATGTTCTCTTTGACATTGAAGAGGAAGAGAAGGAGCATTTTGTGGGATGTCACAGCGAGAAGATAGCCGTTGCGTTTGGTTTGATTAGTGTTAAGCCTAATGACACAATCCGAGTGATTAAAAATCTTCGTATATGCGGCGATTGCCACGCAGCCATCAAACTCATCTCGAAGATCACAGGTCGGGAGATCATCGTGAGAGACACAAATCGCTTCCATTGTTTTGTCGATGGATCGTGCTCATGTCAGGAATACTGGTAGGAAGAATTATACGCAAATGTCTTGTTGATGGTAGGAGGGAGGCTGACACCATCAAAACCACACAAGGCTTTTGGCTGCCACAAGAACTTGAGGATATTATTTAAGGGTGTCTTTTGCCCCACTTGCCTCTGTGCTGCATGCATTCAGGTAAAAATTTTAACTTGTGCTTTGTTTGGCATGACAAAAGTTAAAAGCTAATTTGAGTAGTTGCATTTATAAGCTTTTTTAGAAACAGGCTTTCTACTTCCATGTAGGGGTTAAGTCTACTTACACTTACACCCAAACCTCACTTGTGGGATTCTATTGGGTTTGTTGTTATAAGCTTTGTTTAGACGAAACGTTTAAGATCTTTTTGGTTGGAAACGTTATTTCGTGAGCTTCTTATAATAACTTATCAAATAAATTATACTCCAGGGTATGAGCTTTTTGCTTATGCTTTTCTTTAGAAAACATCTACCTATAAACATACCATTTTGTATAAATTCATGATTGGAAGTTAGCTTATCAGCTACTTTCATCAACAACTAATATCAATCTATCAGCTTTTGAGTAACTTATAAGCTATGTGGTAGCTTCTCAACCATGTTTTGCTGAATATAGGTACTAGTAGTCTAATACATCTCATTCATAAATTGTGCAGAAGAAGCTGAAATGTAGAGAGGGAGGAATGCGGTCAAACGAAAGCTCAGTCAAATTCAGCTCGAAACGTTGGAATCTTCTTCTTCTTGAAACCGCACAGGGTCAATTGATTCAATGGTTCGATGAAGCCCCGGTGATGGAAGCGTTATTTCTTTAAACTCTATACATAATGGAAGAACAAAATTATAGTGCATTTCCTTTCAATGAATGCAAAATCTAGTTCAGGGTTTGTTTGATTGATTGATTTATTTACTCTTGTAAATCTTTTATCACACTATTTACTCCATACATAATGGAAGAACAAAATTATAGCAGGATTTATTTGAGATAGTTTGTACAAAACTAGCATTTCGCAAGGCGTAAAATCAACAACAAAAAGAACCGCAAAAAAAAACTCATACCAGATGAGTGATACACAATTGATAGTGTGGCATCACAACTCATAACATAATCTAACCTTTTTCATTTGCAAAAAAAACAGTAAAACATTAGTAACATTCTACAATGAAAATGGACAAAAGCTTCCATTGGTAGACTTACTCACTCTAGTGCCGCAGTCGCGCCCAATTCCTTGAGCTTCTCAACAATGGCGTTGCCCTCTTCTTTACTCAGCCCGTTCTTCACCACCACCGGAGCTTTCTCCACCAGATCCTTCGCTTCCTTTAACCCCAAACTTGTAAAACCCCTTATCTCCTTAATGATCTTGATCTTGGCAGCCGCGTCGAACTTCTCAAGCTTCAGATCAAACACTGTCTTCTCTGCAACCTTGGGGGTTTCGGCCGACGCGGGCCCAGATGAGCCGGAGGACTCTAGATCAGACACTGCGGGCCCATACTGGCTGAGCCCCATTTTGCGCCGGAAGAGGATGCCAAAGTCGCGCTTTTCAAGCTTGGTGAGGTCAAGAAGCTCGCTGGCGATGCGCTCCAGTTTCTGGGTCTGGGTCTCCATCGCCGTGCATAAAGCTCGAGACGGCAATGGTGTAAGGCCATGGGAGAGGAGCCTGGCGAAGGGAATCGGGTGCAACTTTGAGACTCTAGAGGCCATTTACAGAATACGTTGAAACTCTGTTAACATCAGTGTGAAGAGACAATGAATATGTGCAAGTCTCTCTGTACAGATTTTGAATTAGGGTTACAAATATGCTGAGTTTAGTGTTGATCTAAAAATCCATTTGCAGATGGGAAATAAAACAAAATAAATAAATAGTTCGAGGAATATGGAAAGCTTAGAAATCGAAGCAGAGAAGACTGGAAATGGAGCGCAGAAGATAAAATGGAAGAAGAGAAGAAATACCTGAGGACGACGAAGGACTGAAGGAAAATAAAATGGAAGAGTGAATATCTCTAATTAGATTAATAGGGCTTTGGTTCTAATTGACCCGGACGTTAACAGGCCCACTTCACTAAAGGAAGAAGTTCACAATTACCCAATAATTTTTTATTTTTTTTATTTTTCATTTTTTTATTTTATCTCGATTAAAATAAGGGTTTGTTTAAGTGAAATTTCCACTGAATAGGAGTAAAACATAAGTCATTTTCTAATGTATGAGTTAAACATTTTTATTCTATGAATAGGGCTTAATAATAATTAGTGAGAAGAATAATGTTCAAGAGATGTTGGACATTTAGTTGAATAATAACTAATAGATAATGACTAATGGTCATACATTGGGAAATAAAAACATATGGTCACTCTTTGTTTAATGAGTTCATGAGTGTTGGATAGTTGATATCATAATTCTCTCATCCCAATTTTGATCCAACAGAAAAAAACTACTTTTAACCCCAAGAATGACACCGCCAAGCACATACACTCATTGTGAGAAATGGTACTGCTAGGGGGACACGAAGATGACACTCATTGTGAGAAACGTAGCCACAAGTTCAATTTTGTACAAATAAGATGAGTCAATACAAAGAACTTTAAACAAAAAAGTACAAATAAACATTTATTTAGAAAAATATTAAATTTATCTAAATGTTTTCTTAGATGATTAATGGCGGGGAGCGGCGGTGGTAGCAAATGACTTGGATGATCGATAGTTAAGAAAAATAATGAACTTTCATATTGATATCTATTAAATTCAGGAGACATTAAAACTCTCTCGAATTCATATTTGAATCAAACACTAAAGATAGTTCTACAAAATAAACAAAATGGCACTATCAAAGTGAGAGCACCTACACAACGTTCAATTTTTTACCAATAAGATGAGCCAACACAAGAAACTTTAAACAAAAATGTAGAAATAAACATTTATCTAGAATAATATTAAATCTATCTAATGTCTTAAATAATCCTACATTTTCACATTTTTTCAAAAATAATTTAACTTTTTACGATTATGAGAAATAATCTCACCTTTCACATGTATGCGAGTTTTAGGTTGTCGTTTAGAAGCTAACAAGTAACGACCACTCAACGAAACTTTTGGAAAATGCTTGTTTTTCTCAAATAGATGAAATTTTGTATTCTGTTTTGGGCAGAAATTGTAATACAACAAAAATGTAGTGAGTTATAAAAATAACAATTTCATTTCAGAGAAAAAATTATTGTTTTATTTTCACAACTGTTGTAATGTTGTTTTGCAAAAAACATTTGTGTTGATTTATTGAAAAATATTCTCAAGATTTGTAATGTCATTTTTTTAAAAATAATAATAGTATAGTATCAAAAAATAATTTGAAGTACCGCTCAAGAAAACAATTAGTTTCATTGTGTTGAATAACTTATTGTGCGATTTCATCTTTTGTAATACTACGTATTACTTAGGAGAAAACAATTATTACCAGATTATCGATTATAAAAAATAATAATTAGTGTCAATCTAAAAACACACTTATATTTGGTATAATTCATAAAAAAATTCAAAACTAAATTTGAATTCAAAATTTAAAATGTGAAAAAAAGAATTTACGTTAAAATATTCTCACCTTTCGTTCATTTACGAAAAACACGCATTTTCTAAAAGTTTCATTAAGTAATCGTTAGCATTTTAGCAGCAACCCAAAATTTGAGAAAAAATAAGATTATTTTCTGGACAATGAAAAATGAAATAATTTTTTGACCAGTGCAAAAAAGTGAGATTATTTGATTATTTTGATATAATCTTTTTATTAAATAAAAGCATAATAAGTCTAAATATTATTAATGGGTCGGCATTTAAACCAGGGAAAATACTAGGGGTACACCAAAAGTGTACCCCAAACATCCTCCATCCCCTCCATCACCATACAAAAAAAAGCAAGAAAAATTCAAAAAAAATAAAAAACAAAAATAAAATAAAATGAATGGTAGAAAAGGAAGTGATTGTACATTTGAGGTACACATTTGATGTACCCGTAGCATATTCCTTAAACGAGTAGTATAATGTCCCAAGTCCCAACCCACAGCAATAGTTTTGGATCCGAATGCGTTGATTGGTGGGTAAAAAAACCCCAATCCGGGTCTCCGTCGTCTGTCCCTCTGCAATTTCACACGTTTCGCCGTCGTCTTCCCTGCCAATCATCTCGTTGTCTCCGACGGACATTGCTGCCGATGATAATCGAGTGTTGAAGCTCCGATCCAACCAATTGGCAGTTACCTGGTTTCATTTGAATCTTTTGATTCCCCTGGTACGACACTTGAATTACGATTCTTAGCCCTTCTTTCTTCTTCTTCGTCTGTTATTTTATTTTTTTCGGTTCTGCAACCAGTTGTTTATATTGGTTCTTTTTCCTTTAAGCCTTTGAGAATCGCGTTCGTTTGGGGGTTTAAAGAGCCAATTTGATTGTACTCCAAAGCCAAAAAATAGTGGATCTTTGGCTCTACCTGGGAATGCAAATAACACCAGGGTTTGAAAACCATGATTGACAGCATTGTGTCTTCTCACGCACATTCACAACTACTGGACTTTCTTTTTTGGGTACTCGCCATGACAATCTGTGTGTTGTCATCAATGGTGTCGACTGTCGAATTGAGGTAGGATCTCTTAGCACCCATTGTTGAGGATTGAGAATTGAAGAAATCTGAATTAATTTAACAGTTTATTTCTGTGATAAAATGCACAATTTTACTTTAAATGCTTGTTTAGTTGCCAGTTCATGATTGTCCTGCACCCTAACGGAACATAGAGAATCAATCATAAGTAGCTTTTTTGTTTCTGGCTGAAGTGTACTTGGTGTTGTCAAAGGAGGCTGTTCTGCTGTGAAGTAGATATGGAGAACATTCCGGTTGAGGTTGTCGGAAACATATTACACTGGCTGGACACTGCAAGTGACACGGTGGTTGCCTCTGCCACCTGCCGGAAGTGGAGAGAGGCATGGTGTAACCATCTCCACTCTCTCATATTTTCCTTACACGAGTGGCCGATATACGATGAACTCTCAAGGAGAAAATTAGAGATCATCATAACCCGGACCCTCTTCCAGACTAACGGTTTGCGCGGTCTTTCCCTGATAATGGAAGGCATCGGCGAGTTCTTTGCCGCCCCTGTCATCGCGTGGTTGATGTACACAAGGGGCTCATTGTGCCAGCTGAATTACAGCGTGAAGACCGCGCCGAATGTCAACGTCTTGGAGATGTGCGGGCGGGAGAAGCTCGAGGTTCTGTCCCTCGGGCACCAAGCGATAACCAGCGTGGAGCCCAGTCACAGGAAGTTCCTTTCCTTGAGGATTCTAACGTTAGACTGCGTGGGCATTTCGGCTTTGGATTTGAGTCTGTTGTTGGGAGCATGTCCGAAGATCGAGTTCTTGAGTCTCACAAGTCTCGACATTTTCATGGTGGACCCGCAGGCGACGATGGAGTTGAGCAGCAAGTCCTTGAGGGACCTTTACGTCGAGGAACTCACCTTGGAAAAGGTTGTCGTGGAAGCCGAGAACCTCGAGAGCTTGCATTTGAAGAACTGCACGCTCGAGGACTTCGAGCTTGCCTGCAAGGGGAATTTGAGAGTCCTCGAGATCGATGATGTCGGCATCATCCACCTCAACATCGGGGAATCTGCCGAGAATCTGAAGTCCGTCGACGTGAGCAACTTCACCATCACGTGGTCCAAGTTCCTCCGCATGATCTCCAAGTCAACGAGGCTGAAGAAGCTGAGGCTCTGGGGAGTGGCGTTGGACGACGACAACAACGATGAGGTCTTCAAATTGGAACAGATTGCCTCTTGCTTTCCCCGGCTGTGCCAGCTGTCTCAGAGCATCCGACTGAAAAAGTCGTTCGTTCAGTCTCAGCCACGTCTCGCTCCTGGAGCTCGGGTGGACGGTCATTCACGACTCGTTCTCGGATTGGGTGGGCGCGGGGTTTTGGAGAAGTGCCTGCGGCTCAAGAAGGCGATACACGGCATCGTCTCGGAGACGAAAACCCATGAAGAGTGCCAGACGCTGGCTATCTTCACCTCCTTCATTGTGAGGCTCATGAGGAAGTATGTGCACGTTGAGGTTCAGTTTGAATATGAATGAGTTCACCATTCACACCAAATCATATCATAGGTTGAGATCCAATCAGATCAAATCTCATCAAATCAGTTAATCAGATCATATCAAATTTTTAAAAAGTCAAATAAGTCAACACAACAGAGTCTTCTTTTGGTTTGGAGGTCATTCTTGATTTATACTCTGGGCATGTGTGCATTATGTAAGGGCACATTACCTCTTAATTAATTTGTTAAGCAAATTCTTAAGTCCGTAAAAGTCAAACAGAACACAGAAATAATGTTTTTTTTGGAGTAAGAGAGTACATTTTTTATTTCTATTAAAAATGTTTTTAATGAATAAAAGCTAATTTTTTGAATTACTTTTTTATGGTGTTGTATTAGTACTCTTTTCGTTTTCTAAAACATTTTCTTATTTGGTTTTTACATGTAAAACTCTCTCTTTTGTTAAAGTGATTTGATTTAAAAATTGATATAGAAATAAAAAGAAAGCTTATATATTTGAATATTACATCAAAAGTTATACTACGTATAAAATAAGTAGTGATTATAATATTTTATTTGTCAAATGACTAATGAAAAAATCTACGCAAACAAATGTTAACCGAGATGCCTTGAATAGTAAATAAGAAGAGATTTGACAAGAAAAAATTCACATTTTTCTTTTCAGATTTCTGTTACTTAGTTGAAAAAATTAATTTAGTCTTGTCTCATTTATTTTGTAAAATATTTAATGCAACTTTTGAAATATAAATTGTATTTGCTAATTAATCATTTACTTTTATACTTTTTCCGTCTCAGAAATTTTTTTCCTAATATTCTTATTTTTGGTTTGGGAAAGATTTTTTCATTACATATTTTTAATATTTGAAATATCACAATTATCGCCACTTTATTTATTACATCTAACTCCATATTTCACCCAATTCCATTATGGATAATTTGGTAACTTTCACCTTTTTAAGCTCTTTTTAATGGCAAATACTTCCATTATCCTCATGCCCATTCAAAGTATATGGACTTTGTTGATGTGAATTCCTTAGTATTACTTTTAGTGTTAATATTAGCATGAGTATTAGTATTAGGATTAAGATTAGGGGATTAAAATTAGGATTAGGGATTAGATTTATGTTTAGGATTAGAGGATTAGGGTCTTAAGATTATGATTATGATCAGGGAATTAGGATGAGAATTAGAGAATTAAGATTAAGAGATTAGGATTTGGACTAAAGGATTAGAATTAGAATTAACATTAGGCACAGTAGTTTAGATGAACCGAGTCTTTTTTCACAAAGTCAAAGTGTTTGGGTTAGGAATTGTTAGGATCGTGTTTATGGGCCGGCATTAAGCTGATGATAGTGTTTAAAATGGGTAACTTTTTCCGCGTTGGCGGGGGGATAAAAAAAACCCAACTCGGGATCTCCCCCGTCGTAAATCCCTCTCCTCTCTCGATTCGCCGTCGTCTTCTCCTCCAACTTTCTTGTCGTCTCTGCCGCGCCGGACGTCTCGTCTTCTCCTCCAATTATTCGTGTGAGTTAATGTTTTTAATCCCTTCTTTCTTCTTCTTCGCATCATATTTCAGTCTTGCGGCGTCCACTCAATGGTTCATACTGATTAAACATGAAGGAAAATTGTGCTTCAGTTCGATTTTATTTAATCTTATTTGTTTGTTTGGGAACTAGAATTCATTTGAAATTTTAAATTTCAATTCCAACATTTGAAATTCCATGATTTCAAATTCACAATGATGTTTGGGAAGTCATATAATTTCAATTCTAAAATTTGAATTTTGAACTCGGCAAAGACGGTAACAGAAGTGAATTTATATGTATGGGATTGTTATTATACTCCCTCCGTCCACAAATAAACTTTACGTTCACTATTGAGTCAAACTTTATTTACTTTGTTGGCCTATTTTCGTCACCCATTTGATAAAATAATATAGGCATATCACCTCTAGTTTTGTAGATCTTTTGATATAGTTTTTTAATATGTAATTTTTATTTTTCATTCCTACACCATTTTTCATATAAAATAATTTGAAAATAACTTCAGTCAAACATCGTAACGCGCAATGTAAAGTTTATTTGTGAACGGAGAGAGTATAAGAGAAGATCACTTTTTAATTACAATTTTTAAATTAAAGAAAAATTAAGTTTGAATTTGTAAATGACATGGGGAAGGGTGTGGATTTGTAGTTGAGTTAGTTTTGAATTAGAAGAATTTGGTTCAAATCCAAATCCAAATTTTTTGAGTTCCCAAACAAGTAATTTGAATCAAATTTGGATTTGAAATCTAAATTCAAATTTCCAAACACACCATAAATTAATTTATCGCCATAATACTATCTTTGTCCCACTGTCTTTGTCCACTTTTGACTTTTGAAACTGTTCATCTAAGCATTTTGACTCATCAAATTCTCTCAATGTGTAAGCCTAAATTTAGTCATGTGTGATCTTGTTTGATTTGCCTTAACATATAAATTATTAATATATAATTTCTATAATTTTTTAATATACAAATTACAACATAAAATGGATTAAAGAAGTACATTGGATGGTGTGCCAAAAGGTAAGTAGACAAAGACAGTGGGACAGAGGGAGTATGTCTTATTTAATGTTAATTGTTTAAACTAATTCGTAACTCACCTGTCGCATCATACCTTTTACGCAATCTATTCATGAGTACAATTTTGCTCAAAAGACTTGTTTGGTAGGCCAATTCTTGATCAGTTTGCACATTAACAAAACAAAGGAGAATCACAAGAGTTTCTTTATTTGCTTACTTGGCTGAAATGTGTATTTCCATCATCTCCGATGGAGCCAAAATTTCACCATTTTTTGGCTTTGGGGTGTGATGGAATAAATCAAAATGGATCTCTAAACTGTCTGCGCTTCTTTAATTAATGAAGTAGCAGTCAAGCAATGCAACTTTCGACGTTGAGCCGGGGGTCTCTTTGGAAACAGCCTCTCTACTTTCAAGTAGGGGCAAGGTCTGCGTACACACACCCTCCCCAGACCCTACTCTTGTGGGATTTAACTGGGTTGTTGTTGTTGTTGTTGTTGGCTGAAATGTGTACTTTGGTATTATAGGTTTATTGTTCTTCTGCTGAGGAGCTGGTGGATATGGAGAACATTCCGGTTGAGGTTGTCGGGAACAGATTACTTTCGCTAGACTCCGCCCGTGACGCGGTGGTTGCTTCAGCCACCTGCCGGAAGTGGAGGGAGGCATGGAAGAACCACCTCCTCTCTCTCGCATTCTCCTCAAACGACTGGCCGAAATTCCGCAAACTCACAAGCAGCGAGTTAGAGGTCATCATAACCCGAACCCTTTTCCAGACGACCGGTTTGTGCGGCCTCTCCTTAATAATGGAAGACGACAAGGTGTTATCCCCCGCCCCTGTCATCGCCTGGCTGATGTACACCAGACCGACGCTGTGGGAGTTGAATTACAGCGTGAAAACCAAACCGAAGATCAACGTTTTGGAGTTTTGCGGGCGTGAGAAGCTTGAGGTCTTGTTCCTCGGGCACGACGTGATAACCGGTGTGGGGCCCACGTGCCTCGGGAGGTTCCTTTCCCTGAGGGAACTAACCTTGCACTGCGCCAGCATTTCGGGTTTGGATTTGAGTCTGTTTTTGGCCCTTGCCCCGATTCTCGAGTTCCTAAACCTGATATGTGTCGACGTTGTCATGTCGGACCCACATGCGACATTGGAGTTGAGGAACGGATCTTTGAGGGAGCTCTACGTCGAGGAACTCCTCAACTTGGAAAAGGTCGTCGTGGAAGCCGAGAACCTCGAGACGTTGCACTGGAAGCACTGCGAGCTCAATTACTTTGAGCTCGTCAGCAAGGGCGGGTTGAGAGCCCTGACCATTGGTGGCCTCAGCACCCTCCACCTCGACATCGGCGAGTCAGCCGAGAATCTCGAGTCAGTTGACCTAATCAACTTTACGTTCATGCGGTCAAAGTTCCTCCACACGATCATGAAGTCGAAGAGGCTGAAGAGGCTGAGGCTACGGGGAGTGGTCTTGGACGAGTACAACAACGACATTGAGGCCCTCGATTTGGGAACGATCGCGTCTTGCTTTTCCCGGATGTGCGAGCTGTCTCTGAGCTACAAACTGAAAGAGCCGTCAGTCAACCACGAGTTGGCCCGTTCGTTCGCGATCACTCCCGAGTCAATCATGGAGCTCGGGTGGACGGTCATCATCGACTCTTTCTCAGAATGGGCGGGCTGGGTTTTGGTGAGGGGTGCCCGGCTGAAGAAGATGGTGATACGCGGCGTCGTCTCGGAGACGAAAAGCCATGGAGAGTGTGAGAAGACGTTGGCTAACTTCACGCCCTTCATTGCAAGGCTCGTGAGGATGAGGAAATCTGTTTATATAGAGGTTCGGGTTGAATACGAATGAGTGAAAGCATAGCAGCTGAGGGATGGATTTATCTTCCTCTTTTGGTTTGGAGGTCTTTCTTTATTTATACTTTTGGCAATTTGCACACTACACCACATTTCTTTACCGACACTTTGATTGTTCACACTGACACAAAATTTTAGTATAAACTTTTTCAATCAGACTAACAAGTGGTGATAGTGTAAACCATCAAAAGTTCGATGCGCACCTGTGGTGTACAACTAGGTGTACCCTCTTTGATATGCACACTTTATCCACTTTTTTTAACCCCAAGGGTTTATACATACATGCAAGGAAAGAAAAACACATCTGTCATACATACATGCAAGGAAAGAAAGTTGGGATCAATCAAATATTACATGGCCGATGAGAACAAATGATAAAGTGGGGCCAGGAATATGGATGATATATATATATATATATTCTTCCCACTGTAAATTTCTGAGAAGAATTTCTTCACTCAAGAAGCTAAGGGCAACTCCATGTCCTCTTCACTTCTTCCTTGGCCGCCGCCGCCGCCGCCATTACTGTAAAATTCTGACAGCCACCATTTTTATAACATTCTTCAAGCAACCAAAACTCATCATGAATAATAGTAATAGCTTGGTTCATTTGCCACTAAGTTCCTGTGACATAATATGTTTATTAAGTTTATCTTGTCCAGAACTTTTAAAATTTTATTTTATTCTACTAATATATAGTATAATTAAACTGAGAGTAATAAAAGCTCAACGTTTGTCCAACTTAATTTGAAAAAAGTAAAACAGGATGAATACATTGGGATAGAAGTAATAGCTCATACCCATACCCCCCTAACCTAGCTCGTCACTTCCCCCGCTGCAGCTCCCTAATCTGTCACCCAAACCGGGTGACAGTCTACTAATTCCGGTGGGAATTATTTCAGAAGCGAATAGAGTATCGTAAAGGCTCTGAAATAAGTTGATGTCGCGTTGGTATCGTATATCGAAAGAACCGTCCTCTAGTAATAATAATATTCGGAGTAACCCAGGAGAATAAATTGGCTAGGCAAATATAATAAATAAATAAATAAAAACTTAAGAGGGATTGTGAGCATTTTACCTATTGGTTTATGTTGTTTTCCAACTCTTCCTGCACCTCATGACATAAGATTAAACGTAAATAAGTAATGACGCATTTTATACCTAAATAAATATAAGATTATCATTATAATTTTCTGAATACATTTAAAAAAAAGTTGAATGAATGTGAACGCAAATCACGGTCACATTCATAATATTCATTAAACTTGTTTAATTGGAGCAGTAATTACGACGACTAACCAGGGCTAGCCTTAGCTGACTGTTTTCTTCTCTCAAATGATTCACTTCTGCTTCAAGCTCCTCTGTGTAAGCCTGCAATTTAAGGGTAGGAATCATTAATCCTTTCAAGTTTGATTAAGATTTTTAATTAAAATTATTCTCAGATTCATTTGTTTATATTTTTAGTGTAAAATAACAATAAAAGTTATATACAAAGTACTTAAAAACTAACTAAAATTTCTAGATATACGAGATAATATGACTATATATTACTTTATCAAATAATCAATGAAAATATTTATTCTATAGAAAATATGGTAAGAAAATATCACCTCTATTTCAAAAAAATGTTTTTTTGATTTGACTATTTCTGGTCAAATAGTGATACTTCTTAATTATAGATTGTGAAAATATATATTTAATAATAATCTAATTTCAATATAATTGGGATCATTGTATGATATATAAAGTAGTTTTGATAAATCAAATTTTTATATTCCTTCCGTCCCTTTAAACATGGGATGTTTTGATTTTAAAAAGATTTAACGAGAGTGTATTTTGGTATTGAATTTCCAAAAATGTCCTTTGATGTGATAGGTAAAGGTAGGATTTGATGAGTAGATTATTTGTAAAAAAGTATGATGTAATAGGTGGGGTATGAAAAGGTAAGGGGTAAAAGTGACTTTTTAATAGAAATAAGAAGTGTTTTTTGCGACGGGTGAAAAAAGAAAGGAGAAAGGTTTTCAGAGACAGAAAGAGTAATATTTATTTATTTAAATCATGTATAATTTGTAATAAAGTGTCACTCTGTCATTATGAAAGAGTAAAAACATGAAAGTTTTTCTCAAACGGATGAAGTTAAATTTAAAGAAATCTAGCTGGAAAGGAGTAAAAAGGTATGCAAATACCAAACTAGAGGTTCTAACCCTCTTAAGAACAAAATAAAAATATAATGGCAGTGTAGTGTAAGACTACGCGTTAACAGTTTGATGGAAAAGTGATGACAGCGTAATATGTGAGTATGATCAATCCATCGTCGGTAATCTGCGGCGGCAATTGGGTGGCCAGCAGCGACGGATGGCTGTGTGGTGGTGGTAACGTAGTAGTTACAATGTGACAATGTAGTAAGTGTGACAGTGTAACAATGACAGTATAAATTTCTATTTTAACCTTAAAAGACCTATGATTCCTATTTTAATATTTTCACAATTTTTTATTTCTATCTAAAGATTTCTCCTTTAAATTTACCCTTAGATAAGAGCAAAACTATGAAAACAACACAATAGGAGTCCTAAAACTTTTAAAACCAAAATAAAACTTCACTTTATTATTGTTTCACTGTCAAACTCATCATATTGTCACACTGCAAGTGTCTCACTATTACTAACATCGTTAGCCATTAAAGTACCTCCGATCGTCAATGATTGGCTGATAACAGTGACATATTACATTATCATCATTTTTTCATCACACTATCAATACGTAAACTTACATTACGCTTGAGACATTGTTTTGGGGCCTGTTTGGGAATAGCGTTAGAGATTAACGTTAACGTTTTGGATAAAATTTTAACGGTGCAGATCGCTTTGAAAACGCTAATGCTAAACGATGCCCGTAGATAGCTTTTTCAAAACGCTAACGCTAATCGCTAACGCTGTTCCCAAACAGGCACTTGATGTTTCATATTTTTTTACTCTTATCGAGAGAGGATTGTTTATTAATTACTCATATCTCAATATATTCATCCAATACTATTTTTCCAAATCAAAGAAAATAAACTTTGATAACCAATTAATTAAAAATTATATTGTACTATATTACTACAAAAATAATTTATTAGGCATATTTTGTGAAAAAAATTTCAAAAATTCATTTGTAAAGCACTAAAAAAATCAATGTAAATGAGAATATTAAAAAATAAAATCTGCTCTCTTAGAAAGAAAAGATAATTACCTGCTTGACTTAAATTTTTTTTAATTAAAATATAATTTTTTTCCCGATGCACTTTCAATTCAATGTCCACTATTTACTTCAATTTCACAAAAAAAAATTAATTTCACAAAAAAATATTGACCTGCTTTCTTGCTCTGGACCGGGCTGCCGATTCCCTATTTTTGATCATCCTCCGCTGCCTCCGCGCCACCACCACCTCCTCCGGCCCATCGACGACCCTCTTCCGGCTTACTCTGCCACCTACCTCCGATCCATGCCGGCTCCCGCAAAGTCCCTCGGACGAAACCGGACTTACCACCACTGCCCCACGGCCACCGCCGTAACCCACACCCTGTTGCAGAAAATAACTGTTGCTGCGGATGCTCCCCGTGCAACACTGCGGCGACCCCAAATCGTAATCTCCGCCGGCGAGATCATTGCCGTTCCGAAACGAATCTCTGTCCCTGACTACACCGGCTTTGACCAAGAATTCCTCCAGCGTCATCTCTCTGTAATTACTCGCCTGATAAGATTCCTGACGACGAACAGCCACCGTCGATCCCCTGTTTCCGTCGGCGGCTTGCTCTGTTTCTTGAATTCCCGACCAAACCTCGTCCACCGTTTTCCGGCAAAGCGGCTCCGGGATTGCGAAAGAGCCGCCTTCCTCTTCCTTATTATTATTATTCTCATGGCTCCATAAGCTGGTGAGGAATTCGTCCATGTTCATGGATCCGAAATTCTTGCCGCCTCTGTTCTGGAATTCATCAAGGGTAAGATTGTAAATTGAGCTCTGTAATCTTCCCAGCTCCTTGAACTCCTTGTGCAACAATGGAGATTCCACCTCATCACCTTGGGACACCATTGTTGAAGCCTCCAAGAGAAGATGAAGAAAAATAATCAAGTCTTTATTTATTTATTTATTAGGCAGTAATTAAAAATTTCAATTTGGATTGATGAATCAAAGCTTCAATCTTCTCAACTTCCCCATTGAATACAGAAGAGAAGATGTGATGGATGATCAAGAAATAGATAGAGAATTGAAGAAATGTATGAGGTGAGGTGTTGTCTAAATACAGAGCTCAGTGTGGCTCTACATAGTCAGCTTATGAAGAGGACGATAGATAGATAGACAGAGGAATGTAGGTGAGTGGGCCATATGTATTCTATAAAACCTAGTTAAGTAGGGCCCATCGTTCAGTGAGCGTACGAGATATGAGTTTTGATATATACGGAGGGCTTGTTCCTTGATTGAATTACTTCTCATATAATTAGTAACTAGAGTAACTTCTGATCGGGTCTCATCTTATCTGATTGTAATTATATTTAAGCATGTTTCTGATATAATTTAGTGGGTTTTTATTTGATTTCAATAAGAACAAATATTAAATAATAAGAATAAATTAAAGAGAACAAATTCTGAGTATTTTAAAATTTACCCAATCTAGAATTTTTAATTCTACAATTTAGAATTAAGATCATATTGATCCTTTGAAATTCACCCAAGACGTGCTTAGAGCATCTCCAATGCAGGAGATAATCAAAGGGTATAGAACAATAATTGTCAAATTTACTTTTGTAAAATTTGCACTAAATAGGACTAAAAAATAATGTCTTTTCCAATGTAGGACTTAAACTTTTTTATTTCCTAAATAGGACTCAATAATGACCTAGTGGGAAGAATAATGTCCAGTAATGATGGACATTTACTTGAATAATGACTACATGATAATGACCAAAAGTCCTACATTGGGAAATAAAAACATATGGTCCTATATTGGGAAAGTTATTATGTTTTAGTCCTATTTAGGTAAATTTCTCTTTACTTTTTCTTCACATAAGTTTATCCTCCAATGGGGAAGGTAAATGAGAAGGTATTATAACTTCCTTAATTTTGGAGAGGTATATTTACCTCCTCAATTTTGGAGAGGTATACCAATTTCTTCTCTTTCCTTAAAATACCTTTATTTTGAAAAACATATATTTACCTTCTCCATTTACCTTCTCCATTTACCTTCTTCCATTAGAATCAAGAACTTTTTAAATATGTATATCTGCCTTTTTGAGAAAGTAAATGAGCAAAATACCTTCTCAATTTATCGAGAAAATTACTCGCAGGTGACGCGGGTTTTGTCGAAATAACTTTCAGGTACCTCTATTTTCAAAAAAAACAACCGAGGTCCTTATATGTTGTTGTAATGATTGGGATGTGACATTTCATCCAATACATCATCCGTAAGTGTTAATAAATGTATTTTTTTCCTATTTTTCCAATACCATTTTTTTTATTTTGCCATTACCTTGTTTTTTCTTTTTTTAATTTTTTTTATTTCATTTGTTTTAATATAATACAAACAATTTTGAATTTTTATACGATTTTATAGAAGAAATTCTAAAATAACACTTTAAAAAAACAAAATGAAAGAAAAACAAAGAAATAAAAAAAGGAGCGACCTAAGATTTATTACCTTAAAACATTTAGAAAAGAATAGAAAAAAAATAAATTTATTAACGCTTATAGATGAAATATTGGATGAAATGTCTCCTTCCAATCATTACAACAAAATGTAAGGATCTCTGCTGTCTTCTTGAAAATAGAGGGACCTGAAAGTTATTTCTGCGTCACCCGTGAGTAATTTTCTGAATTGCTCTTAGGATTTAAGTAGATAAGAAACAATAATAAGTTCAAAAGACTAACTTTATTGATTAGGTTCAATCATTGAGTTTAATTAGATTTAATTAACCCTTCTATATGAAACACTTTCTCCTTTACAATGGAATTTTTTTTAATGTACATAATTTCCACAATTTAATTTAAAAAGTAAATCTTCTCACCGCCATATAACTTTTGGGATTGGAGGGAGTATTTTTCACTTTTTATTGAATTTTTTTTTACAGAGTACACCTCACATTTTTCTTGCATTTCAAGATTTTAAAATGCGAACTTTACTTTGCAACGGAAATACATGACGTAATCGAAATTCTAACCTCAATAAATTTTAAAAATGATATAAGCTGAAAGTTAGCTTTGAATACCGAGTACTATTTTTTTTTAAATAGAAAAACAAAGGTTTTAACAGTGAAGCCTTAAATCTAATATGGAAGAGTGAAATTTACTCAAAGTAGCAATAAAATTTAACATTTTTTTCCAGAATGACACCGAACTATTTTTTTTTTCCAAAGTTAACATTAAATTAATTAATTAATTATTAATATTATACATTTACTAAAAATATTTTGTATCTTAATTATTTTATACTCCGCAAATTTATTTTCTCTCTTTGATCAATTCCCTACTTCCTTGATTCGTCCGTTGATATTTTCTTTTTGATGGACATTGTAAAAGTCATGGATATTATTTATAGATCGGCAATATTGATGGCCAATGCAGTGAACATTTATAATTGGGACAATGTCTTTTTTCTACCGACAATATCTTGACAGTGGACATGTAGACATTAACAACGATATTAGATATTATTAGACTGAAACTATGGAAGTCATTAGCTCAAGCATAATGAACATTAACGGATGGCGGTGAGACACTGACATCGACATTTTGTAGTCGACGGCCGGCGAAGGACAATAAGACGTGATGAGACAGTAAATATAAAATTATATAAAGGACATTTTATTAGTACACTGGAATTAATAACTAATTATTAATTAACTAGATTTAGTTGTAGAAATTAAAAAATTTCATGTTATACAGGAAAATTCATTATGTTGTAGTGCTATTTAAATAAATTTCTCTATATAAGAACATCAGCAACCCAAATTTCTTTTACAATATTCTTCCTTATTAATTTTTCTTCTTTTTATTTTTGTAGATTTATATGTATTTTTCATAAGTGATTTGATATAATAAAATATTCTTGTCGCATTTGGTTTTATAGTAGTTTTGATGTAATTTTAAAATATATAATTCAAAAAATAAATAAAATCATTAAAAAGAAAGTAATATTTTACCTAATTGAATTTGAGACGAAAAGAACACTTTTTTCTCTCTAAATTATGTGAACCGAAGCGTATTACTATAATAATGAATTGACGACTCAAAAAAGGAAATTAAGCGTGAGGCGAGAAGAAAGTGTGGGGTGGGGGGGTCCCACAGAGATCGTCACCGTGAAGGAAATAATCGGTGTGCATGGGGACGGCTGGTGACACGTCTTCGGCGTGAGACGGCGGTGGTGGCGGCTCCGTTAACACGCGTCCATCTTGCATGTCCGGATCCGGGTCCGACCCATACCGGCTGAAACTCGACCCGTATTTTCCTCGTGACGTCGTCATGCACGTTTCAACTTTGTTCTCTACCACTAGAACTTTAACCTAAAGCCTAAAACGGTGATGTTCTTTTTTCATTTTTGATATATTATTTTTTAAATATATAAATTTTGTTTTACAAATTCGATATAAACTTTTTGATGAATTTGATTAGAAATATTTTCATTCAAATATGGTAAAGTTCAATGATAAGTTGGCTTTACGACGGAAGGAGTACCAATAGATAGATATTACGGAGTATATTGTAATAGAATAAATAGTACTCCTTCCTCCGTGCATTTTCATATTTTCTAGGATTAGAATTTGTTCATTTTTTCAATCTATTTTCAGTATTCATTTAATAATATAATACGGAGTAATAAATTAATGGATCTTTTGTTTTGTAGAACTTCTGCTTTAGTTTTTTTGATATATAAATTTTATTTTTTTTTTAATTCCAACAGAATTCTCAAATAAAACAAATTAAAAATAACTTCATCCAAACATCGTAAATCGAAACAGACACTATACTAAAAAGAAATCTCGTAAACATTTCTCCTTCTTAGACGTCATTGCTAGATTTAAAACGTCAACTTCTTATATCCAGATTTCACTCGGGAGATTATGTTGAAATTAATACAGTTTAAATTTCAAATGCCAATTATCATATTCTGGTGTCCAAACATTATGATTCAAGGTTGTTAATAAATTTACTCCTCATTTGGCTATATCTACCCCCTTTATATATAAAATGGACAAATTTATCCTTAATGTTAATAAAAAAGGGAAAGAAAGAAGTGAGAGGTCAAAATTATCAATTTCTTATACATAGAGTGGCTTGAGTTATATAAGAGTAGATTTAACACCACCCAAAAATAAAACTCTAGTTAACAATAACCCAAAGCACACAAGCCGAAAGTACGAACTAAGGCTTACACGTTTATCCAACTATTCTAATTCTAAATTTCAAGGTGTTACTATGTAAGGCTATATACTCAGTGAGATCATGAATCCATTAGTCTTCTCTAATTAATCACCACCGTCCAAATCTTCCTAAGTCTACGTCTTCCTTTGTTACTATCACTACCGGGGGCTTCACTCGTCCTAACAATGCCCAAATATAAACGAAGAATAATTCAAGAACACAATGGACTACAAACAGAGAAAATAGATTAACTAACTAACTATATAGAGAGAGAGAGTAACTAGCAGCATTGCACAAGGATAAAGATATTGCATTGCCTCTTCAAATACTAGTCAAAGAGCTTCACTTACAATCAATTACATTGAGCTAACTGTCCAGCTGGTTTGGGGAACAAGACAACTGTAAACTTAATAAACAGCGAGTAAAATACAGAAATTTTTAAATTACCATTTCTGATGTATCACAAGGAGCAGCTGTAGGCATCTGAAAATTTGATCCATATGATGAAAATGTATAGAACACAAGAGCCAGTCAGTCAATCAAGAAATAACACTAGTTGTCAAAGAGACACTGAGAAATAGGCCAAGAACACATACCCTAATCATCGCTTTCTCCGATTAGAAGTGTCTTAATGATTTTGGCTGCCATCCCTTCGGCAAAAGGGAACATGTGACCCGCCCCTGGAAGCTCGTGGTAACGAATCCATGGAAGCTTCTGAGCAATGTGACGTTGAAGAGTGACGGGCACAAGCCCGTCCTCATCTCCTTGCCACAAGTGAACGGAACCTTCTTTATCTGGGAATGGGTTCTTCAGATCCATGGGGTCGAATTCCCAGCTTCCAAAACCAACAATTAGGTCACGGTGGAGGGACTCGTATTCTCCTTGTTGCCTTATCTGTCTCTAGAGTTGCCAGTTTCCACACAAAACAAAAGAGTGAGGAAAAGATACTCATATTGGGATGATGTTGTGGTTGAAATTCCTAAGTTGGCTGAATTGTCTATCTACCTAAATAAGATCTCCTATGTTTTTGTCCACTAAATAAGAGTGTTGACACCGTGAAATGCCACAATTAGACATTATGTATTGGAAATGCAAAATGTTTTTTGGTATTATGTTTTCATATTTTTTGGCACTATAAGTCCTATTTTAGTATGCCAATATTGAATGACTTATTTTGATATATGGAGCATGTTTTAGTCCCACAAAGGTTTGCACACTTTGACTTGCGGTTGAGGATTGTCAACTAGAATATTGAAAAGGTGTTAAACATGAAAAGCAAGTAGTTAGAATTCCTTTGAAAAAGAGAAGTATTTTGGATCACACTCTTTTCCAAGAAGGGGAAGAGAAATGAAAAAATTATTTTGGGACAAATTAAAAAAGAAAGTGAGAAAACTTTTGTGACGGAGAGAGTATGTTGGGACGGAGAGATTATTCAAACAAATTAGACATAATAATTTCTAAAGAGGGTAAATTTTCAGTCCTAGGCTTAAAAAGGGGCCTAAAAGGCTTAACTTTTTAAATGCAAAAATATGAAGGGAAAATTTTCATAAATAGCCTTCTATAATTTACAAAAATTTCACCCATTCTAATTTGGAAGCAATTAAACAAATTCATTTATAAAAAGTCAAAACAAACACTTGAGTCATTTTTGCATTTTTCAGTGTTTGGCTATTCAGGAAAAAAGAAGTCGAAGGTAAATGATTTTCAAAGTCAAAAGAAAATTAACCTTATTTGGAGGATTTTGCCTTCCCTTATATGAGAAGACATCTTTCACCATTCACCTACTTCTCAAATCGAAACTTACCATGTTTTATTATATTACTCATACAACAAAAAAACATTTTTTTTCATTTTCCAAACTTTTAACTAACCATCAGGAAATAAATTCAGAAATCATTTTTCGGAACTGATTTCCTAAAGTCATTTTCACCATTTTTCCAAACGGACCATAAGTAAAATGAAGTACAAATTTTAGAAAATCTAGTGGTGTCACTTGACCCCACTCGAACCAGTGTGTCCTCCATTGCAGCAAATGTTCTGCCACAAAAGCTGTTAGTTTTTGGTGAAAAAAGGTTACCAAACAAGATAAATTGATAAAAACACATCTTCATAAACTGTAGTTGTCAAAAAGCCAGTTAATAATTTCTTACCACATGGCCTTCTTCGAATGAAAAGTATTTAGGCAGAAGTTCTCGGTCATGCGAATTGAAAATCTCAAGCTTGTTTGCAGCAACACTAGATGAAGGAAAGTACTTTTGTGTATTCCACCAATATGTAAGCCATGGAGCATAATGAGCAACACGAAGGGTCCATTGATCTTGGGGAAGTTGGTTGTAGTATGCTTCTCTTGACAAGTTACCAGGAAAGTTATGCCACCAGTAGTTGACTACTGGCGTTACAAGAGATGCTCCAGCAAGTCTGCCACACAATTCAAAACAACATGAAAATGAGCCTCAATCCGTGATTCCTATCACCTCTCAACTGAAAACTACTCCATCCGTTTCAAAATTTATTGACTTTGGACAATGGACACAATATTATTTTAATATATCTTTTACTTTTCGTTATCCTAGATGAATTTAATATCTTGATGAAAGGGTAATGCAGACATTATATACAAGTAATAATATGTATCAAATGAGTTTCTTAATTGTGTGAAACAACCTCATATGAAAAGTATCTTGAAGCAGATTAGAAGTATTGCCTTAAATCCAACTAGTTGGGATCAGTGGCATTAAATTACTGCTACTTAATTGTAAAAATTACTAACACTGAATAATGCAAAAAAAAACACAATGATAATCCAATAATGTCACACAACCTTACCTTCTTAGGAAGAAAGAATGAGATGAAAATTCTAAAAAAGTCATCACACTAGACTATGTCCATGTGCATGGAAAATATTGAAATCTATATTTTGCCTTAACAAAATGTATCATATTCAATTTATTGGTACAAATTACATGAAAAATTAGTTCCCTCTGATGAACCCCATTAGTAGACATTAAAAAAACTCTTGAAAAAAAAGTTTTTTAATAAAGCGGAGGATAGATATTGAGAATCTTGCTCCGGTCACGAAGTGTTCTTGGTGCATGTTAGGAGGTTTCAACTCAGTGCTGAATTTATATGACAGAATTGGAAGGAGTCCAGTCTCTGTGGAGGAGATTAGAGACTTCAAAGAATCCCTGATGCAAAGTGGTCTTGAAGAGATGTCAACTGGGGGAGGGGAATATACTTGGTCCAATAAACAAGATCCAGGTCACATGAATACACTCCAAGATTGATAGAGTTCTTAATAATGTTGAATGGACTCTTAAGTTTGACACAAAGGCAATCATAAGGGTGGTGGGATTGTCAAATCACACTCCTATTCTTGTTGAGGATTGGATTCACACTAGGGGAAATCACCCTTTTAAGTTTTGTGACATGTGGAAATTAGACCCACACTACTCACATCTGATGATACAATTTGGAATAGGGATACAGAAGGGAGTGCTATGTATCAAGCACTGCAGAAACACAAAAACTTGAAAGTGTATCTGAGGAAGCTGAATAAGAGTATAAGACCAACTTTCATCAGACTCACAGGGAATGTGTACAGAACAGAGCACAGCTTTTGGCTACTCAGACCATCCTGAAATCTGATAATGATAATGAGGTTCTCATAGGAACTGAATTTAAATATGAAAGAATCTTATTACATAAAGATTCGGCAAACGAAACAAAAATGGATTGCAGAAGGGCATCAGGATACAAGGTTGTTTCATGCCCAGATCACGATGAGAAGGATCACTTATCATATTAATGTAGAAATTTTTGGGTATTTTAAAGGGGAAAGGGGACTGAGACAGGGGGATTCTGTATTCACTACTTTTTGTCATCATCATGGATTACCTCACAAAATGTCTACAAATACATGCTAAAGTTGACATATTCAAATTCCATCCTCTTTGTAAATCCTTGAATGTTATCAATCTAGTGTTTGCAGATGATATTATAGTGGTTTGCAAGGCAGATGAATCTTCTATTGAGAGCCTTGAATAGTTGAATCACTTTCAAGAGGTTACAGGGTCACAGATCAATAATGATAAGTATGAAGTCATTTTTGGAGGTGTTAATGATACTGATGTTGCAGTGTTTATCAGGAATTTCATACTAGCTCAAACGTCAAAGGGGAAATTTCCTTCCAGATATTTGGGTAGTCCCATAACTAGCTCAAGAATAAGTGAAAAGGAGTGTGATAGACTTGTAGAGAAACTTGCTGTTAAAGTTACTTCTTGGGCTACTAGGCACTTATCTTATGCTGGTAGGGTAAAGCTGATTAACTCTGTCCTTTTTGGTATATTTGGTTTTTGGAGTAGAATATTTATTATCCCTTCCATGGTCATGAGTAGAATCCAAGTCATATGTAGAAACTTCTTGTGGAGCTCTACCCAATAATCCAGAGGGAGACCTCTTGTGGCTTGGGAAGAAGTAAGTCTACCCAAAAAAGTAACAATTTGAGATTCGTGGAATAAAACTAATGCCATGAACCTCCTTTGGGATGTGACTAGTAAAAAGGATATACTATGGGTCAAATGAATCCATAGTAAATATCTCAAAACTAGTGAGGTCTGGGAGTATAAAGTGACAAATAATGCTTGTTTCTATTGAAAGAAGATTATTAGGGTCAGGGACAGCTTTGATAATATGCCTAGAGGAGAGGAGTATAGCATTGAAGATGGGTACGCTTGGCCATTGGGATGCAGAGAAGCTCTTGTTTGGGTTAAAACTGTTTGGGACAGTATGACTATCCCTAAACATCAAATGCTACTTTGGCTGATCAGCTAGAACAGACTACCCCCACTAAGGAGAGACTGGGCAGATTTATGGAAATTGATCAGAAGTGTGTGTTTTGTGGTCATATTATGGAATATATTCAATACTTATTTTTTTATTGTTTCTATGCAAAAGCTGCACATAGCAGTATGTCCACTAGGATGGGAAGAAGCTCACAGCCAGTTCCCTTATTTACTTGCACCAGTTGCTGTAGCACATCAAGATCAAAAGAGAAATATGTACTTTGAATGCTCTATTTGCTGCTGTTTTCTATGGAATTTGGAAGGCAAGGAACAAACATATTTTCCACGAGAGATTGATAGAAACTGAAAAACTATATAGTTGGTTAAAGTTACAGCTTAGTACTTTTATTACTAGTAAAATTGTTGGTACAAAGTATAGGATCTAAGGAGTTGGTGATTTTGTGCTAGAGGTTTGTTTTATAGTTGTTTAACTCTGTTTGTTTGATTAATATATGAACTTTCACTTAAAAAGACTCTTCAAAAAAGACTCTTTTCAAAATAAGGATAGAGTATCACTTTTGAAATCATATACTTTTGAAAAAAGATACTCCACAATTTTCAGCATGCTAGTACTAGTTCGAACTAACCCCAGCAGACCCTACATTTGTGGGATTCTCTTAGGTTGTTGTTCTTGTAGTATAAGTTCGAACTAGATGGAATATACCTATGAGGGATGTACTTGAGACAGCCCCAGACAACCTGCCCGCCCATGGAGAATCCAACAACATAGAATTTTGAACCAAGTCCCAACCGATCAGCAAGCTCCTCTATATCAAACGCTATGCTCTTTGCTGTGCGTTTTGGGTTAGGATCACTTTCTCCATAACCAGGTCTATCAAAGGAAACAATGTACACCCCCAAATCCTCAGCAACACCCTGCACAAAGAACTCATTCCAGCAATATTAAAACATAATGGGGCTTGATATATAGAAGTAGGATATCCGTTTGGAATCTAGAAAATATTAGGGAGAGAAAACAAGGAAGAAACTTGAGAATTGGGATGTGAACAAATTTAGGCGGGAATAAAAGATAAGTTGAAACTCATTTTATTTAGTAATTTCCAATATATACAAATTTTGGGAAGTAAATACAACAATGCATCATGGTGTTACAGCTGCGTACATCTTGACCCGCCAGACTCCCATAGGGTTGAGATTATACTACGCTTGTTACCAATTTTATTGTTTTTCCTTTTTGTTTTTGAAGGTATAATCAAATATAAGAAAAAACAGATCAACTTTACTAGTATTTTTTCCATTTCCTTAAACTTTTCAAGGATCCAAGTACACCCTAGAGTATTCTGCTATTGCCTCTATGTTGTATCTAAGTACTATTTTGTGGGCTAGCATCTATTAATGGGAAAGCATCTAATAACTCATTTTATAGCCAGCCTGCCCTACTAATATCTATTACTCCGTAATTTTAAAAATTTCAAATTATTTTATAATAACTTATTTCTGGTATTTCTATAAATACATGCTAAAAAAATATGGAGCAACCAAAATAAAAGAAGGTAATGCGAGTTAAAGGAGTCCAACAACCCCGCGCAAGGCGGCCCCCTTGATCTGTCCATTGCCTAATGAAGACCGGTTTATACATATGGTACTGCAAGTACCTCACCATACCTCCGCATTAATATGATTTTGTCCACTTTGGGCGAAATCCTAAAAGACTGTTTTTAGACACCTCCCAAAAGGACTCATACTAAGGAAGTTGGGTTCGAGCTTATATTTGAGTCAATCTCTCCTTTTCAATCCCCATGTGGGGGGTTGTTTGTCTCCCAACAATACTACACTGAACAAAACAAAAAAAAAGAGAAGGATTACAGGAGCAAGGGTGGTGTCTATGACAACACTGTGCCTGCATGAATCGAACCCATGGACAAACACAATCTTATACTTTGCTTTATCTTTGGGAACGCCCTGCTCTTTGTAAGCCAAGTGTCGTCCATCCTTGAGCTGTATTCGTGACGAAGTAACCGGAGGTCCATCTGGTGATCCACAAATCTTGGGGGGAGGAGGCCTAGTTGCCTGATAAGCCCATAAGATGAAGAACAGTATGGCTGCTTGTAACATGCTCCTCAAGAATCCTGAAACAATGAAATTTTGAGGGTAAGCAAACTCGAGAAGCTAAGAGACAGCGGGAACGGAACAGCATATTCATCATTCAAACAATCACATGCCATCATCATATGAAGTTAAAAGTCTTTCATCAGATTTAAAAAGAACATTAGGATGTCATCAGTCAGCTGCAGAAACACCACATTTCACAAAATCCTGTTGAATAAGCCAGTTGACAAAGTCATTATTTATTAATAGGTTTATCATTTCAGTTATTGTCCTATTCTTATGTCATTAGTTACACTTTTGTGGCTTTCCTTATTTTTAGGAAATGCAGTAGTGTCTATCTTGTTGCTTTGTATAGCCTATAAATTGGCGTAGCTATAGACTAATAAAATTATCAAGTCCTCTTCCCATTCCTGTTCTGTTTTTGAGCTTGTTCTGATCCATATTAAATATTTATAGTTTTAACATTTCTTCTAAACAAGGTTGCCTACAACCTGTTTGATAAAATTCCCCAAAGATAATTTGTCTTACATTTGGTATCAGAGCCTCATAAATTCACTGCAGCAGCAATATCAATTGATCCATGGCATCTGAAGGCTTTGTTCAACCTTCCATTCCCCGCTTTGATGGTCACTACGATCATTGGAGCATGTTGATGGAAAACTTTCTCCGGTCCAAAGA